CTTAAATTTTTTAAACTAAAATTTAATAAATAACCAAAGTTTAGTTATAACAACTAAAATTTAATTATAAAAACTAGTATAAAAGTCTTAGAAAAAAATATTACTTTTAGGAATGTCTAAATAATAGAATAACAAAATTTTAAAGAATCTAATTATTCTCCGCCCTCTTTTGTAAGTAGACAATGCATGCCTCCTCAAAACATTTCTTAGAAAAAATATGTACTTAATATTAGAAACACAACAAATAAGAGAATAATGAGTATTTATACATGACCCTATTATTTTTCTACAATTTGCCAGTAAAGTGTGGTCCTTAATGCCGCCCTAAGTGAGGAATCCCAACATTTTACAATGGGGAACTACCTGTTACAACCCCGTCTTTGTTAGTTTTACAACTACAGTAGGAAAGTGACAGAGTCATAAAAACCGATCGCCGTGTGGAAGACTAAACCGTCTAAACTTCAAATTCTGCAAATTCAATAAACGTACATCCAAACTTTACAGAAATTAGATTAATACGGAATATGAAAAAGGATTAATAATTAATATTAGCTACATAAGAAAATTTTCGAGAAAAATTGCCTTAAAGTTTCATGATTTTCCATTCATTTGAGGTTCATTTTTGATATCTGAAACAGTTGGTTGCCATGGTTACGCATGGCTACTGCTACTTTTCTATCTCAAAAGAATAAAGTGATGAAATTTTAACATAATTTTTTCTCGAAAATTTTCTTATGTAACCAATATTAATATTGACTGTATTAAATTCAGAAAAAAGTCCTCTTTCATATTCCGTAATAGAAATGGGGCATTGCTATTTGAAAAATATATCGATGACGTCATTACTCGTTTAGAAATGACGAAAGATATTTTAAATCTATACCAAATAATTGCAAAAAATTTAAATCTTTAGACCGGTCTCAGCGATTTTGCCATAAACTGTTTTTAGTAGTTTTACCGAATTTATCCGTTACTTTTGGGAAACCCTGTATATGCACATCTTTATATCGCTTTGAAAATCCAAAAAGGCGAGAATTTGAACTAATTTTTAACAAATTTATATTTGTTAGTTTGCAATTTGCAACTTGTTCAATAAATAAATAGAAATAAATCAAAGTGCATTTTTGAAAGGACACTTTTTTTAAATTTTTATTTAGGTAGTAAAACTTAGAGTTTTTTTTATTTGTAAAGGCTAACTTGAGTAATTTTCCGTCGATTAAAGAAAAAGTGTCGATTTTTAAGCGACATGATGATTCTTGAATTATATCTTCAACCTCAATTTCACACAAAATTACATATATTCTAATTTATTTGATTCATCAATGACAATTTATAATTAAAGTAAACCGTTCATTATTTTTTCTATAATACCTGCCAAATTGTTGTAATGTTGGCAAAATTAACAGGGTGTTTTGTTTTATCATGATTTGATATAAATATGTCACACTGACGTTTGAGCTTTCGTTATTCAAAAAGAAAAGGTGCATAAAAAATGTTGTGGGGTGTTTATTTGCCATTTATTTACCTAGAAAAGTTATTTTGTTCTATTTAATTACTTTGTAGCACGTTTTTACAACAAATATATACTTCGTTAAAATCGTATTTATCTAAAAATTTATTAGTATTTTAACCTCAACTATTTAGTTACTGAAAATGTTACTAAAAATCAGGAAAACAACGTAAATTTTATAAGGGTCCTAGATAATACCAACAGAAACCCTAAAAAATTTACATTGACAAGTATTATAGAAAAAAAAAACGAACTATAGGTCTAGTATTAGTTCTAATTTTAATGCAATAAAAATATGCAATACAGTGATATCTAATGCTAAGCACTAGAGTTATCACTAGAACTAACACAAGACCTAGAACTAAAATCATTCGGCTTTAGCCGTCTTGATAGACGTGCGGCTAAATGCGAATGTTTCTAGATCTAGGTCTAGTGTTATTTCTAGTTTTAATTCAATAGAAATATGTAATACAGTGATATCTAATGCTAAGCACCAGCGTTATCACTAGAACTAACACAAGACCTAGAACTAGAATCATTCGGTTTTAGCCGTCTTGATAGACATGCGGCTAAATCCGAATGTTTCTAGTTCTAGGTCTAGTGTTAGTTCTAGTTTTGCACCAGCACTATCACTAGAACTAACACAAAACCTAGAACTAGAGTCATTCGGCTTAAGCCGTCTTGAACTTCGAATGTTTCTAGATCTATAGTTCATTTTTTTTCTATAATACCTGCCAAATTGTTGTAATGTTGGCAAAATTAACAGGGTGTTTTGTTTTATCATGTTTTGAAATAAATATGTCACACTGACGTTTGAGCTTTCGTTATTCAAAAAGAAAAGGTGCATAAAAAATGTTGTGGGGTGTTTATTTGCCATTTATTTACCTAGAAAAGTTATTTTGTTCTATTTAATTACTTTGTAGCACGTTTTTACAACAAATATATACTTCGTTAAAATCGTATTTATCTAAAAATTTATTAGTATTTTAACCTCAACTATTTAGTTACTGAAAATGTTACTAAAAATCAGGAAAACAACATAAACTTTATAAGGGTCCTAGATAATACCAACAGAAACCCTAAAAAATTTACATTGACAAGTATTATAGAAAAAAAAACGAACTATACAATAATAGCATTTTAAAGCTGCACAAAATACGAGCAAAACACTTCAAACTCTTTTAAATTTACAATTGGCGCCATTATACATAAAAAAGACGGAGAATATATCATTCCTTCTGCCTTTGATGGAAACGCACTCTTCTCATTGCCTAAATAGGGAGTATAATGCAGAAATATAATGAATAATCTCAAAAATAGTTTCATGCAAGAAAATGCATTAATTTACAAAAATGGTCTTTTATTAATTAAAGTATATCGGCACAATAATAATATTTTAAAATAGATAAAATTACCTAAACATTACAATAATTTACTAAATACTAACTTTAAACTTAATCTAGGGTTTGTTTCCATTATTCCTCTCCCTGTGTTTTGAGGAACTATTTCTGCAACAATTCATAACGAATCCAAAACACGCTATAAGTGTACAAACTATGTAAAATACAGCCATAGCTATAGGAGCATCCCCATAATCATAAAATTCTTGATTTTCTTTTCGATATCCGTAATTTACTAAAATTTGAGTTCCATTTGGTGATGGACAGGGTGCTTGAACTATAATATCTTGTCGTTGTACCTAAAAGATTAAAAACTTTGAAGTATTTAATTAAATTTTAAACATAACAAACATACTTGTTTACTCCTGCATAAAGTAGTTGAAAAACTGCTTGCAATAGCTTCAGTAGATAATTCTCTGTTTAATAAATATGGTAATACCCAGGTATTGGGGCTTATGTATTCAATCCATTTTGTACAAGTAGTCAAATCTTTGTAATGGACTAAATATCCGTTTGAAAAGAATAAAGCAGTCATTATAATTGTTGACAGAAATGTTGCCCTATTTGGAATTGGGATTAAATAAATAAATGCTGTTGTAAATATTTGTAAACAGCTTAAATAAAGAAGCATAACACCTATGAAAAAAATAAAGAAATAAATTATACATAAATAATTTATTAATCAATTTATTGAGTTACCTAAATAAATGTAAAAACCTTTATAATTCGTGGCGCTCTGCATATACAGTCCACTCATAGAGTAACTTGGCACTAAATATATTAACCATACGAATAAGGATGGAAAAATATTCACAATACTCTAAAAATAATAAAAAAAAATAAAAAAATAAAAAAAAAATTAAATAAACTCACTTTAGTAAAAATATACGTAAATCTACCGTATAAACCATCACTTATATCACGTTCAACAGTTTTTCTATTTGTTTTAATCTCCATTAGTGTCAATAAAAGAATAATGGGCCAAATTATTATGCACATTGTAGCGTAATGATATCCTAATCTATCATTTAGATTTAATTGTTGATCGCTGTTTGGTAAATCCCAAAATATAGCACCCATTATTAATGATAAACTGACTGCCAATATAATTAGACTCAACCAGTTTAAAAATGTTCTTGGTTGTGTATAAATCATAGCTTTTCTAAATATAAATATAAATTAATCATAAAATTTATTTATGATTAAATTGTTTCTTACGAAAATAAAACGAAAGCTTGTGAGATACAATTAGCACTTCTAACAGTTAATGGTATTGATGTGGGTGGTCCAGGATCGCTCATTGGTTCACGTTTTTGTCGGAAAATTTCTGCAAGTTGTTCGATTCTTTGCGATGACTCTAACATCGCTTCTGCTGATAAATCATCTAAAGTTACTAAATCCACTAAAAATAAAAAAATTAATATTACAATTTAAAAAAAATTTTGTATTTACAATAATAATCAGAAGGATTTTTAAACGATGGACATGGATAATCGACCATTGCGAAATATTGGAGCATATCTCTTCGTCGTCCGCTGTACATAGTTCGACCGGCTGAGATAAGTAAAATTCTTGAAAGCATTGTAAATATTTCATAAGTAGGTGGGTGGAGAGTTAAAACTACTATCCGACCTAAAGCATTGGCGGTACCACCATTCGCCCATTGTCTTAAATATTCAACCAAAAAGAAAGTATCAAAAATATCCATTCCTCTTGTTGGTTGATCCAAAACGACAATATCAGTATCCAACAACAAATGACACGCCACATTTAGTCTCTTTCTTTCAGACGTGGTCATGTTTGAAACTTTTGTGTCTCTAACTTGTTCCAAACCTAAATCTTCAATTAACACATTTATCTAAAAAATTAAATCAATTAATTCAACAAAAAATGTTTATTTAATCCTTACTCTATCCATTGCATCAATTTTTAAATGTTCTAATTTAGCAGTAGGTTTCTTCAAATCATAATGAAATCTCAGCGTTTGCACAACAGTCATATCCTTACATAAACTCACGTCGCTTTGAACGAAAGCAACTCTATTTCTTAAAGAGTGATCTCGAACTTGTTGCCCGTTAATAATTATATCGCCGATTAAAGCCTGACTTCTTCCGGCAAGAACGTTCAAAATAGCGGTTCCCTCATCTTCAGAAGTCGCCATAATAGCTAACAGCTCACCTCCGCGTACTTCGAACGATATATCATTTAGTAACAGGTGCTGTTTCTTTTGACAAAGACCGGTTGAAGGAGGAAGAACTCCCAAACCGCATACTTGCAAATGAGGATAAATAAAAGCGCTGGGAACGTCATCATCAGCACTGAGATAATCGCCGCGGATGACCGATGGTCCTCTTCTTGAAGTCGCCAAAGACATATGACTTTCAGCTTTTGATATAGGACGTAAAAGATGACTACAAAATAAGATTAAAAATAAAACTTTGTTGATAAAAATGTTTTAGATTTATTATTACCCATGATCGACAACATCATGGTGATGTCCGAATTCGGCTACACTATTTCTTCTTGGGTCACGAACGTGATGAGGACTGTTATGATAAGATCTTGTATACTCAGTTGATAAAAGATTTGCCTCTGAAATGCTTTTATTCCTATTCCAATTTGACGAATGATTTAACCCACCTTGTTGAAGTGCAGCCAAAGGGACTCCAGGTGGTGGATGAAACTTGTCTTTTTGAGGCTAAAAAATTTGAACAAGAATTGACAGAATAAAAACACTATCAAAATACACTCAGTAAAGGTCAAAATATGCAATCCCCCCATTCCAAGGAGATAACGGTACTTCAATCTAAGTGTCAAAAAGATGCTAATTCAAAAATTTCTGAAAGCCGTGTTTATTGAAATTAAGAAATGAAACTTATTTTAAATTGAAGCTTAAAGCTTTCTCTGTAAAATGATGTATAATAATTGTTGGGTTGGATGGGAAAAATATTGAGAAAAGAAATGTTGACATAAAACTTACTTTTTCGTATAACCTAAAAGTGTCAAAAAGATGCTAATTTAAAAATTCCTGGAAGCCGTATTTATTGATATTTAGGGATGAGACTTATTCTAAATTAAAGCTCAAAGCTTTCTCTTTAAAATTATGTATAATAATTGTTGGGTTGGATTGAAAAAATATTGAAAAAAAACTTACATTTTCGTATACCCTAAAAATGTCAAAAAAGATGTTAATTTAAAAATTCCTGGAAGCCGTATTTATTGAAATTAAGGAATGATACTTATTCTAAATTAAAGCTCAAAGCTTTTTCTTTAAAATGATGTATAATAATTGTTGGGTTGGATTGGAAAAATATTGAGAAAAACAATGTTGACATAAAACTTGCATTTTGGTATAACCTAAAAGTGTCAAAAATGATGCTAATTTAAAAATTCCTAGAAGCCGTATTTATTGAAATTAAGGAATGAGACTTATTCTAAATTAAAGCTCAAAGCTTTTTCTTTAAAATAATGCATAATAATTGTTGGGTTGGAAGGGAAAAATATTGAGAAAAAAAATGTTGACATAAAACTTACTTTTTCGTATAACCTTAAAAGTGTCAAAAAGATGCTAATTTAAAAATTCCTGGAAGCCGTATTTATTGATATTTAGGGATGAGACTTATTCTAAATTAAAGCTCAAAGCTTTCTCTTTAAAATGATGTATAATAATTGTTGGGTTGGATGGGAAAAATATTGAGAAAAAAAATGTTGAAAGAAAACTTACATTTTCGTATAACCTAAAAATGTCAAAAAGATGTTAATTTAAAAATTCCTGGAAGCCGTGTTTATTGAAATTAAGGAATGAGACTTGTTCTAAACTAAAGCTCAAAGCTTTCTCTTTAAAATGATGTATAATAATTGTTGGGTTGGATTGGAAAATATTGAGAAAATAAATGTTGAAATAAACCTTACATTTTTGTATAACCTAAAAGTGTCAAAAAAGATGCTAATTTAAAAATTCCTGGAAGCCGTGTTTATTGAAATTAAGAAATGAAACTTATTTTAAATTGAAGTTTAACGCTTTCTCTTTAAAATGATGTATAATAATTGTTGTGTTGGATTGTAAAAATATTGAGAAAAAAAATGTTGACATAAAACTTACTTTTTCGTATAACCTAAAAGTGTCAAAAAAGATGTTAATTTAAAAATTCCTGGAAGCCGTATTTATTGAAATTAAGAAATGAGACTTATTCTAAATTAAAGCTCAAAGCTTTCTCTTTAAAATGATGTATAATAATTGTTGGGTTGGATTGGAAAAATAGTGAAAAAAAAACAATTAATATAAACCTTACATTTTCGTATAACATAAAAGTGTCAAAAAAAAGATGCTGATTATATAATTGACGAAGCATATTTGTAAAACCAAAGAAAAGCCTGTACCATTTCTTGGAACAGCGGTCGATTGCATACACTTGTCGAAGTTGATCTGCATGATCTACCGAACGCAGTAGTTGCAGGAAAATCCTTTCACCTAATCCATAAGTTTGAAGTTTTTCTTCAGTTTCAGGACTGAAGAAAAACACTCATACACATATTTTCCCTCATACACATCAAATTTCTTTGTGTAGGTAACTTTTCTTATTTGCTAAGCACCAGAGCTTATAACCCCTTTTTATGGGCTTGAATTGTTTATACTTGACCTCCTCTCTTTGAAGACTATCATGAATTCATCCACTGCCAACTGCCTAGTACCATGATAATAACTAGAAAACTGACGGTTAAGTGTTTCAAAATACGGGTGGATCTTGTATTTTTTGTAATACTAAGGCCCACTTTTACCATCCTCCTGATAAACTATCTAGAGGATAGTTGCCATGGTTACGGCGGTTTTGAGCGCTCTCATTGGCTAAGAATTGGATTTATCTATCGGATAAATTTATCAGGAGGTGGTAAAAGTGGGCCTTAGTTAATAATACTTCGACAAGTATTATTCTTAGAATGTCAACTATGACATGCAGATATGATAAAATCTTCTGAAACCATCATTATTCGTATGACAAGTGGTACATCCAAGTGTTCAGCATTACTGCAGAAGAGTTTATAGCTTGGCAAACTGTGATAACTCATTAAGAAATGTAAGCCAATATTTTCTTCCAAGTTTAGCATTTTATTCCTTTGGGTGGCGTACAAATTATTTTGAAAGGTAAAATCTTTCACACAGTTGCCCAGCAGTTTTAAAAAATAATCTGTAGGATTAATAAAGTATCACCTCTGGATAATGGTATCCAGGAATTTCAGTCTCTTTTTCCCATTTTCTTCATTTTCTATCAATTTCTGCCTTGTTCTTCCTGTTGGGCACGTATTTCTATTACTTCAGTGTCACTTTCCTCATTTTCATTATTTAGTCGTTCTACTTCTTCATCTTCCAGCATAGGTACCTCACTAGCACTAGTAATAACAAAGTCATTTTCTTCATCTTCTATTTCTCAATCTCAATATTGTACCTGTTATTATCCTGGCGGTATTTATACGTACCAAACACAAAATGTAACTTTTTTCGGGAGGAAAAATAAGAAATGCTTGAAAATTGTAATTGCAATACGTAAACAATACCCGAAAGCTGCTTACAAATCACACCTAATATAATATAATAGATGACTACAGTTTAAAATGAGTGTTTAAAACTACCGGTACTTTAAAGTACTGTCGGGACATAGAGGGTTAAAATAAATAGGTATACGGAAATAATTAACTCATGTAATTATTACTAAGTTTAGTAGGTCAACGAAAGATGACGAAGCTTGTTATTATGACTCGGATGAATTACCTTATGGGTGTGGTACGAATGGTGTACGTTTTGCATTCTAAAATCAGGATCGGACCTGTACTTCCTGCTGTTTTTGTAATTGGTTGTTTCATTATCCGAACTGTCGTAACCGGAACTACCATCCCTTGGCCCTCTACTTCCTGCTTTCGACGCTCTGTCAACACAAAATGTAATTTTTTAATCGATTACCGTATACAAGTTTTATTGCAGTCTATTCAAGCGTTTAATAGGCGGATGCACCAAATTACCTGGTGGCGGTGTTTCTGGACGTTGTATTTCGAAAATGCTGGGGCGTGCCTGAACGGTGAGAACCATTTTGGTTTGGTGGGAACACTCGGGGTAATCCGAATTTTAAGTATGTGTACATATTGGAACCGAGAGCTGATCTGGAAGAGTTAAAAAAAAACTGGAATGTTATTGGATTGGAGGTTATTTTGTTATTATGGTTGGTACGTATGCTTGGTTCGAGTGGGACTAACTTGCGTGTCTTAGTTAAATCGGTTGGAACAGCCGTTAAGTATATTTGCAATTATGTGCACAAGTGCTACTTACTTCGGACCGTACCGTGGATGCGAAAGTATGGATTGCACGGTGGTATCGCGCAGTTGAAAGTTTCCGTATGGAAGCGGACTTTTGTCTGTTGAACCAAGAGCGCTATCGGTAAAATCCGAGTTTAAATTTTGCCTACAAATTAAAAAATAATTAATCAACAAAATTTTATTGATTAAAAAATTGTTAACATTTTAAAGAACTAACAGTTTTATAACTCGTTCAATAAATTGCATCCTACTATACTTAAACGGATTTAATGTTGGGGAATAAGTGGCGGTATTGTCCACCGTCTAACAGATGTTGTCGCCGTGTTTAACATTATTGTATCATGAGTCAACCGACTTCGTAGACAATCCTAGCTATACACAGTCAGCTGGAGAGGCCGTCTTAATATTACGGTACTCGACTTCGTTCCAATATCAAGTAATTATCCTGCACCTATGTCGTGACATGCTGAAAATCACGCGGCCGTAAAATAAAATGCTGATGGGGTGTACTCAGAAAATACAACATGCATTTCCGTACGGCTGATTTTCTAACTAAATATACACTTGAAAATGATACCGTGTAATGTAAAAGTAAGCAAGCTAATATTGGACGATAAGATTATAGGCAATCACCTGTAAATAGACCACGCGTGCAAATCTTCACTGGCTGTTCCTGAAAACGCCCTGGATTCCGGATTTGATGGAACAGAGTATTTACGTTCCATCTCGAATCCTTGCGAGCCCCCACCCTGCGATGGAGTCCTACTCCTAACCATGATTTATTGTCTGTAACGAAAAAAAAATGTAACATTAGATTTCTCTTTAAAAAATAACAAGACATAACAACCAATTCAAATCCTATAACACGGAAGTAAGTAAGTAATAGCCATTGCCCCGCCTTGGCCGAGGTACGTGGAATCTCGACTGAAAGGTTAGAATGCCGTCCCACAGTCCCAACCTCTCCTGGAATAGGCAGTTAACGTCTCGTTCGCTAATCTCATCTTGCGTATACGCGGTCTGTAACAATAAAGATACGGAGGGCCGTGATGCAATAACGGCAATGGCCCGCAGATAACGAACGCTGCTTCGGTACTTAACTTTTAGTTGGGCTCATAAGAAATCAGAACTCGTTACCAGGGCGTTTTAAAATCGAAATGACAGGGCATTTGCATTAGAGCGCCATTCCGCGTACCGACACACTGATTGCTGCACGAAGCAGCAGGATTTTAATGAGTACCACTAGTATGAATTATACACTGGGACGGTTGGTTGCGCACCTTTGTTATTTTTTAATACTGCTTTGCATATACGAGATATCAACTTGAAGAGACTAATTTAATTCATTTACAACTATATTTGAAAGCAACCAATTTATTTAACAAATACGTTCCGAAATAATTTTCCTTAAAATACCATCGTCAGTTAATTGGAGTTGGCAACGGAACCTATTCAAGCCTCATTGTGCAACAAAAAAAAGAGAAAAGTGATCGCGATACGCAAATGAGAACGTGTGCCGTGCTGGAGCATGTTACACCTTCATCATCGCAATTAAAAATGTGCGAAAGAGCGCGCTCAAATGGTAATTACCAAGCTGCACGCACATCACGAATAAGAAAAGGCTTCGCCACAGAGAAATGTAAATCGTTTGAGTGACGTTGGGCGTCTTCTTTCCGGGGGTGGATCATTCCCATGGGTCTTGTATTTACCGAGACTACGTCTTCGGTAACAGTAAAAACCGCCACGTCGTTCGACTTGACATGTGTTCCAATCGGCCCGTCGTATCGTAATGTCGGCATTGAACCTGACGGCAGTTGGAGAGCTTTGGAGAGCTTCATTCTCAGGCGTAACATTACACCATTGTCGTGTTTTTCCTCTCGCCAACGACGACGAACGGTCACTTGTCAATCTTTTTTTATCTTTTTGCAATTTATCGAAGGCATGTCGTTTTTCTGAGAAGGTGTCACCGCAAATGTGCACGTGGACTGGGTTATAGTGATTGAGTTGATTCAAGATAATGGTATTGAAACTGTATATCTAATTACTATTGATTTTTCAATAATTTCTAGAGTTACATTTCGCCGTTGTTTATGATAATTTTTTATAATTAATTTAAAAAAAACGTTATTTATTACGTTGTTGTTCTTTTTTATTGTATTATACTGTTTATCAAATTAAAATATATCGCTAAATATGTCCAATAGCGGACGACTTTGATTCACCGAAAAAGTTTATTTCTCTTCTCGTGTCGAATCTATTGGTAAGTACAGGGTGTCCAAATTTCGATGGGTTTGCAGGGTATCTCAGTTATTATGAAAGATAGAAAGTTGCGGCTTTCGCGAACCTGAGCTACTTTTTTGTGAAACTTATAATGGCGCAAACCAAATTTTCATAGCCCTCTTTGTTTTTGATATACAGGGAGTGTTTCAAATTTTATGATTTTCAGACACCTCCTGTATCTCGGCTATCCGGAAACGTAATAACGGGTTCTAATAGATATTTTCACGTGGAATCCAATGGTGCACGTAGAATTTTTCTGGTCATAACGGTTTTTGAGTTATAAAGAGTTAAGTATTTTAGAGGTTGAGTATTCAGTATTTGTGTCATGTTTATAACTCTAAAACCGTGATGACTAGAAAAATTCTACGTGCACCATTGGATTCCACGTGAAAAAATCTATTAGAACCCGTTTTTACTTTTTTACTAAGTTTCCGGATAGCCGAGATACAGGAGGTGTCTGAAAATCGTAAATTTCAAACACTCCTGTATATCAAAAACGAAGAGGGCTATGAAAATTTGGTTTGCGCCATTGTAAGTTTCACAAAAAAGTAGCTCAGGTTCGCGAAAGCCGCAACTTTCTATCTTTCATAATAACTGAGATACTCTGCAAACCCATCGAAATTTGGACACCCTGTACACGTGAAAATCTGAATCTGATTTATGATTTGCCATTGGACGTCGAAAAACAGTTCCCGTGCGTTTATTATAAACATTTCGAAAAAAAATTATTAGAAAGATCGCTTCAGAAATGTATCCTACAACCGTATAATGGTCTGATGCGGAAGATACCAGCCACCCTGTATAGTTAAAAGATATGAAGATCGATTTAACCTGTCAAATTCTGTTGTACTTAATACTTTGTTATAATGGTGTTGTGATTTCTGACAAGGTATAAATAGTGAAATTTTGTTCATGAAATTAGACTAATCAAACTCTAAACTGAAATCAAATGTCTGGTATTACAATGGAAAACTGCTGCTCTGGCAGAGTATTTTGCGATTTCTCTTGTGGTGGTTGGTAACATAACTAAGCAGAGTACTATTAATGAAATCCCTGCATCTACCAACGTGCTTTCCTTTTCATTCAGCTTGGTTACAGATGCTGAGGTCCGGGATGCTTTAACTTACTCCAAGTCCACTAGTGTCGGAGCAGATGGTATTGGACTCAGATTCCTCTTACCCATTCTGGATATAGTTATTACTCCCCTAACACATATTTTCAACTGTTCTTTTGAACAGTCTANATTACGTAGGTTGAGGGTGATATCGCTTCAGAAATGTATCCTACAACCGTATAATGCTCTGATGCGGAAGATACCGGACACCCTGTATAGTTAAAGGATATGAAGATCGATTTAACCTGTCAAATTCTGTTGTACTTAATATTTTATTATAATGATGTTGTGATTTCTGACAAGGTGTAAATAGCGAAATTTTGTTCATAAAATTAGTAATTGTAAATAGTCTAGTATTACAATGGAAAACTGCTGCTCTGGCAGAGTATTTTGCGATTCCTCCTTTGGTGGTTGGTAACATAACTAGGCAGAGTACTATTAATGAAATCCTTGCATCTACCAATGTGCTTTTCTTTTCATTCAGCTTGGTTACAGATGCTGAGGTCCGGGATGGTTTAACTTACTCCAAGTCCACTAATGTCGGTGCAGATGGTATTGGACTTTGGACTCAGATTCCTCTTACCCATTCTGGATATAGTTATTACTCCCCTAACTCATATTTTCAACTGTTCTTTTGAACAATCTATATTTCCGTCAATCTGGCGAATCACCCATATTATTCCTAACCCAAAAATTAAATCTCCATCCCATGTTGGTGACTTTCGATCCATTTCTATTGTATCTACGTTGTCAAAAGCTATTGAGCTTATTTACAGATTCAGAAATATCTTGAGGAGTTTAATTGATTAACAAGTTCCAGTCTGGTTTTCGTGAAGGGCATGATACAGCACAGATTAAGATCACCGGTGATATTAGATCTGCTTGTGATAAGCGTTGTGTTACCTTGCTAGTATTACTTGATTTTAGTAAGAGTTCCAGTCCTACCTTTCCTATCGATCTTTACGTGTCCGCGTGGAATCTGTACTCTCTTCTGCTATTGACATCAAATGTGGAGTTCCCCAGGGCAGTGTGCTGGGTTCTTTGCTCTTCTCAATTTTCAAAAATAGTATTAGTGATGGTATCTCGTTTGTTTGCTTCTCTAGTCTGCCTTTCATCTATCGTTTGCTGCACTCTTTTGTGTCTATTTCCTTCCTTGTAGTAACTGACTGTCGATCCGTTACATAATTCAAATATGCTCATTCGCTCAGTTTTATTAGCACATCATTTAGTATTACATTTTTTGGTAGCCATAATTATTTATTTAAAATTACATTTACACTGTTATCAGTTGGGTGTCTTGGAAGATATCGCTTATATTGTTATGAATGTATATATTTATGTAAATATTTGTTTTTGAGGCAATAAACATTATTATTATTATTATGAAAAGTCTAAACGTCAAGAATATACGTGGAAATACACTGGCCAAACTCTAAACTTCAACAAAATGCTTGGAATTGCACTGGAAAAGTATAAACAATAAGAATATGTCTGGAATTACACTGGCTAAACTCTAAACTGCAAGAAAATGTTTGAAACTTCGCTGGTCAAATACTAACTTACAAGGAAATGTCTAAATATACACTGGCAAGAGTCTAAATAGCAGTTCAAAACGTAGAATTGCATTGGCCAAACTCTAAATTACAAGAAAATGTCTGGAACTACGCTGGTCAAATTCTAAACTGCAAGGAAATGTCTAAATGTATACTGGGAAGAGTCTAAAAAACAAATTTAAGTGTAAAATTGCTTTGGAGAAACTTTAAACTCCAGGAAAATGTGAAAAAACTCCAAATTGCTAGATATGTTCACACAAGTTACAAGAATACTGGACACACATTGCCCAGAATAAATTAATCCCTAAATCTTCGTTAAAAATCATTTTATTCAAAGGATTTATGTCGAAAGTAGGAATGTTTAATATCTATTAACGCCTCCTCAAGAATGCGTATTAAACTGGTTTCTAGGTGATGTCATAGGTAAATATGTGTTGATTATGTATTCCAAAACCTCGAAATTTGCGTGTATTATAAAATAACATTGAATATTAAAACGTTGAAATAACTTAAAATATAGCGACATCTTTGCAACCTAACTAAAAAACTTTATTATAAACAGCCCAGTTTAGTTCCACTAAATTTGTGCTAAATATTATGATGGTACCCATATAATAGATAATTATTAAGATTATTACTAATAATTTTAACTTGTTACATCTTTAGCGGAACTTTTTAACGGTTATCCTACTTTGAATGAATACCTTTGAAGATGAAGATTATTTTAAAATTTAACGCTTATTTTATTATTTATATAATTATTTAGAACGCCACATTTAGAATTTCACACATAATATTCCACAGTACTTTTTCTTATGATTTTCTGCCGGATAAAACCGGTATTGTTGAGTAATTGATATTTAATCTTTTCTAAATAAACAATATTCACGCGAGTTTTATTGTTCGCCCGGAAGTACATCTCCTTCTTCCTTTGTCTTGGAACGCTTGCTGAATAATTAACGCGGATGATGGTACGCGACTTACGGAAAGGTCAGAGATAGACGTCATAGATTAGTCATTGAGTGTCGCCGCAATGGCGTAAACGAAAGAAAATGTAAGAAGAAGACCTTGAGGAGGTTGATGACTGGTTACTGACTCAAGAACGGCAGCAGCAACGGCGGCAGCCAGCGGTTGCCATTCGGCAATAAAATGTTCACGAAGTAGTAGGTGGTTGCTCGAACTCGTATGGAGGCAACCAACGTTCCAAAATTGGAAGTGGAATTACCGCGGTGAACGTTTTATGCACTAGCCTGAATGGAATAAAGAAAAACGATACGCCGGAGGGAGGGCAGCACCAATTGGATTTTTGATTGGGACTCTCCCAAGTCATTGTTGGCCTCGATATATCGTGATGATCTTATGGTCTACGACCAACAGGATTAAAATCATGCGTGGTTACATTACAAATTTTTTTGGAAGTCTGACCTTTAATCACCAATACTATCGGAGAAATCTATCTAAACCAGGAACTGTTAAATGTAAATTTATGCCTTCTAGGTTAAATTAATTTCACTTCAACCCAGTTCAATCACCTTAACCTACGGCGCCAAGTCGGCAGTAATAAATTTAGTCGCGCTACTAATCCTGCTTTGACGTTATCATCATGATAAATAAAAAGAATCGGAACCCGATCGATCTAAAACTAAATCATGGAGTTGCAAGGTTGCAATTGAGTCTCTGATTACAGTATGTCTCGGTTCTATTTTTGCAACTGCCCATTACGTAGGTTGAGGGTGATATCATCCTAATAAGGTATGTAATGACACCGTAGTAATCAAACTGCTCATCTTCAAGCCCGTTATTCACCTTTGATTGATATTAATTGGACGAATCCCACGTTCGAATACGGCAACATTGTAAGGAATCTTTTCTAAGAGAAGCCATTAGGGCGCATACGCAAGTTTACGACGATAATTAAAATACCACGGATGCTGGCTCTTAAGATTAGCGTTAAGTGTTTAAATAAATTACCCTAGTTTTTGTATATTTCGCATACAATCACCTCACTGAAATGGATTCGATTACAATGACGCGAAGTTCACGATTATTTGAATGTAGAACGAACTGTCCCACTTGAGCATCTGCTTCTTTCGTATTCCGTTGAGTAAAGTTGCAGAAAATCCGGTTGTCGTTTTTTTGGGCTGCTTACCACTTATGTCCAGTAAAAAAAAATACGGAGAAAGGTTGTTCATGCTCGTGATCTACGGAGTCCATTGAACCAACACCTGTTCACCTTTTCCTATGTTTGATGATATCCGAATAGTATTTGACCAACTTTCTATGTAACTAACTATTTTATCGAGGCGATAAATTGCATTACCGATATAAAAGAGAGAAATTTACGCCATCAATCAATGGTGACCATGCGTTAAATCATTAGCGCTTAAGGATTTAAAGATGAATTTAAGATTAATTTATGGAGGTGTGTTATTATCGGAGCAGATGTGAAGATCCAATAGACTCGGTGGTTGCAATTTTACATCTTACAAACAGGATAACAAGCTATTACGAGAGATACTTATAAGATTATTAGAAATCGCATGATACAGAATCTTGGTTCTATTATTTTCATCCGCTTTAGTTAACAGAAATAAATGAAAGTACTTTTCTTAATCGTTTCCTTTCGCTATCTACCTTTCTGTTTCATTCATATGTTATTCAATTTCCATCATTTAGAAAAAAATGACAAAGTGACCAATATTACCAAACTTTTTTTGATTATATGTAGGTGAGTAAAAGTAGAATTAACACTAGATCTAGAACTGGAATTATCCTAGAATATTTCTAGATTTAGATCTAATGTTAGTTGTAGTGATAGTGTTATCTATAGTTTTAGTTCTTATTGAGCGTTAAATTGTGCTATATTTTTATTAAACTAAAACTAGAACTAACACAAGACCTAGAACTAGAATCATTCGGATTTAGCCGTCTTGAGAGACGTGCGGCTAAATCCGAATGTTTCTAGTTCTCGGTCTAGTGTTACTTCTAGTTTTACATTAGCACTATCACTAGAACTAACACTAGACCTAGCACTAGAATCATTCGGATTTAGCCGTCTTGAGAGACGTGCGGCTAAATCCGAATGTTTCTAGTTCTCGGTCTAGTGTTACTTCTAGTTTTACATTAGCACTATCACTAAAACTAACACAAGACCTAGAACTAGAATCATTCGGATTTAGCCGCACGTCTCTCAAGACGGCTAAACTCGAATGTTTCTAGTTTTAGGTCTAGTGTTAGTTCTAGTTTTACACTAGTACTGTTACTATGTAGAACTAACACTATACCTAGAACTAGAATCATTTGGGTTTAGCGGCACGTCTCTAAAGACGGCTGAACCCAAATGATTCTAGTTCTAGGTCTAGTGTTAGTTCTAGTTTTACATTGGCACTATGACTAGAACTAACATTAGACCCAAAACTAGAAACATTCGGCTTTAGCCGTCTTTAGAGACGTGCGGCTAAACCCAAATGATTCTAACACTAGACCTAGGTCTAGTGTTAGTTCTAGTTTTTATTTAGCGTTAGGTTGTTGTATATTTCTATTGAACTTAAACTAGAGGTGTTTAAATCGTTCAAAGTTGTAGAGTTTCTTGCTGATAAAATTTAAAAACCAACGTCTCGCCCGGAGATTATTTCCGAACCTTGTAGCAGATTTAACATTTTATTCAATATATTTTTCATCCTCTTTTCTTATTTCAACGAATGTTTCTAGTTCTAGGTTCTAGTGATAGTGGTAGCTCAAATTTTTTTAACTACATTATACTTTATGATGTAAATGGGGTAACGATTATATTGCAGCAAAGAACTTTACATCCTGCTTAGAATAAGTGTATTACCAAGTTATTTCCTGCAGACATTTCCCTTTTCCTGCAATTGCACTTCCGCCTAAGTAAAAAATAACAACAGGTGAAAATTGTACATTTAAGTTAAAATTTAATGTTATCTCGATTTTGTTAGATCCGAATTACAAAATTTGTTGACTCCAAGCATTGTTTTTTAACGATAATTTTGACTAATTTTAGTAATTGTTCATACCCAACGTTTAATTTCCCATTAAATGAATAAATCCTTGACTTAAATACCGTTGCAGAACCAAAAGTAATTTGTGTAGAATTCCTCGTAACTTGACGTGATTATCAATCAAAAATCTAAAATTCCGAAGAGGTTGGTGTTGCTTCACTTTCTCGGCCACAAAACAACATCACAAAAGTGAAACTTTTATGTACTATTTGGCGATTACAAGACAATTACGTGTACTTTCGGTTTCGGGTTCACGCTTACTGATCGCATTAGAATTTTAGCTTGTTCAATCTGTTTCCAGCAAGCTTGTTTGTACATGATTCTCAAAGACGATATGGCACTGAGGTATTGTTCAACCATTAGTGATTAATCACACTTGTTTCCTGGAGGGCCAACAAAGAAACTTAATGGTCTCAATAAACGCAACCTTGAATCTTTGTATATTTTAACAATAGTATGACTAAAAGGAATTATGGTTGCTGTAAAAATGTCGTTACGTCAAAGGTAATAAAATAACCTTTATTTAATTTAAAACTAGGACTAATAAGTTGCCTACATAGTGTATTATTTTGTTTTGTTCGAATATTAATTATTTATACTAACCAATTTTTACAAATTAATTATACAAAACGAACAAAAATACATTTTTAAATCAAAAGAATATGAATCTCAGGGAAAACAAAATAAATCTAAACATAAAAGTTAGCCTAAATAAATAAGTCTGTGCAAGAAAGAGGTAACTCGTTTAGAAGAGTGTTGTAGACAAAGCTTATACGAGTTTGTTTTAAGAGAGTTTTTTAAGTTTGATTTTTAATCGCGATGGTTATAAAAATTAAAGAGTTCAGAATGGTTTAAACGAGGAACAGGTATACGATTAAGTACAAGAAAGTAACGTTTGATTACCGATAAAAGGAAATATGTTCACTTATCTTGTTTCTTTCCGGAGGTCTGACATGTCCGTTAAAAATGGTTGGCTGACCTTGATCTTGAGGGATGAGTATTCTTCGGTATTAGAAGTTTAGGAATCTCGGGAAATTTAGTTCTTGGGTCCTTCGGGAACAGGATGGAAAATTGGACTCGAACTCAGGTATGGTTTAGATTTCTTCGAAAATAATTCAGAAACACTTGTTAACTTTTACTTGATAAAGAAAATTGAGTTGTCAAAAAAAAATTGTAAGTTTAGACATATTATAGGTTAGAAAATTTAAGGTTAATTTTACGTAGATTCGACAACGCTTGGCTCTAGCTAAATTTGAACTCTTCTCGGTGTCAATTTGCGCGGCCTTATATACCCTTTTTGGACAAAGGCATCTTGGATATCCAAATTTGTTTAAATCTGGGCTCTCTGATTGGTCGATTAAGTGGCGGGAATTATAAATTACACAGGTTGGCCAAAATAATTAATTTTTTTAAAGAAAATAACTATCAATTTTGAAAATATTCGAAATTACTAATAAACTTTAAATTTGATTAAGATTTTGTAATTTTGTTGCTAATTTTTCGTTTTTTTTAGATAAACGCGCTTTCGGGTGTCAATTTCCTTCGAGAAAGTCGTAATTTGATGTTGAAGTTTGGAAATGAAAAATTGGAATTTAGATATAAAAAATGATACCGAAATGGATGAAATTGCGGCCTATGGGTTAAATCGATACAATTTATCGATCTCGCATGGTTTTAGAATCTAAAATCGTTTGAAAAGTAGCCAAAATCAATACCTGTCAAAAATGTAAATGACAAGGTCAAATTTGAAGGTCAATGAATTACCTTTTTCTTGCACATTGCCCTAATTTTTCTTAAATCTAAACGAAAATCATAACAAAACGTAACTACTTAGCCTAATCCATAATACTAAATTTCTTAAATTTAATTAGTCTTTTTTCTGTTTCTTCGGAAACACGGATTTTATTACAATAGATAGTAAATAATCCATTTTTGTAAATTTCACGCAAGAAATTGATTTTATAGATACCGTAATCAGCTTTCTACGAACATAATCATAAGAAAGATTATGATAATTAACTTTTGAAAAGCGTTTTATGGTTCGAAAGGTGGAATGTGTATGGATGGAAAAACATGAAAGAAACGAAGAGGCATTTAAAAAAACGGAAAGCGAAAAATGCGAGATCAATTAACACGGTTCGATATGAACGCAAAAGAAAGCGTGAACACCTCTTTTAAACATTTAGTATTTTAATCAAGTGTTTATAAAATGATTGATGAACGAATTTGAAATGACCGATATTTATTGTTTATGGTTGTATCTCAGTTTCTATTTAAAAAAAATTAAAGTTATTTGAAATAGTAAATGAGAATGTGTTGTTAAAAAAAACTGGATTTCGTGTGTTTAAATTCCTGAATAGTAATGAAGCTCGACAGGCGGGCGTGTTGGTTGAAATTGCACTATCTGTGGCCTACTCAAAAACCATTCTTTGAGAGTTTAATTACGTGCAAGATTTCACGAGAGGTGCGGCTTAACCTGGTCAAACCTGATCGAACTGTCCATCGAACGTGAGCTCACGTGCCAACGTTATGACGGTTGATTGTACTTTCAATTCACATGTGACCGATTGAAAATTGATGAATCAGATACAAAAACACATTTTGTGATTCATTTACTTTAACATTTTTATTACGTTTATTAAGTTTAACGTATAAGCCGCTTTCACCACATAAACTAAATTGTTAAAACCTAAACCTGGCAGTTGAATACAATCATTAATAAACACCTGTGTTGTCTCGGTTAATATATTCAGCTATGCGAGTGATTCCTTGCATAGTGTATATGCAAATGATCTTCACGGATACACCGTGTCCCGATTTCTCATCAAAATACCATTAAAAGCTGGGTTTGTGGGTAGATTCCGCGTGTGCCGCCAAGGTCCCCACAAAGATTCTTAGCGTCGATAGTTTCGCCAGCACCTTATGATTACCGTCAATACATGAATAAAGTGCTGTCAATTAAGTATGAGTAAGTACGAGTACGAAACAATCGTGCTGACAACATCTATAACAACTTAAACCGTTTAAAGCAAACGTGTAATTGGTTGTGGAGAAAGGGCTCCTTTTATTTCAATCGATGCAGCATCAGTTTTAACCCGTTACGCCAACACAAACATATGATTCGGTCCATTCATGTAGTGAGCGTTTTTTAACCAAATAATAACGAAATTCCGGGCAAGTAGAGGTCAAGCCGTGAAATCCATTGGTAAAATACGATACAGCAAACTAAACAGTTTTACGTTATCGTTAATCCGTCAACTTTCTAAATCCGCAATCCTGGTCGCGCCAAATAGCATCATCCGATTGATCGTTTTGTAGAATCGTTCAGCTTTTTATGGAAAACGGGACCAACGAAGAGGAAGAAATCAGATCATTAGATAAAAACACTTCAAGAGAAGAAAATCTAACAAGTCCACTTTTTTGTTGGTAATTAACTGTTTAAAGTTAACTATCATTTTCTTCATTTCAAGTGAAGTTTCTGAGTGTAATTTCTACTTTCTTTGAGAATGATTTCTAATCTTAACTAACTTTTTTGTGATTTTTTTCTACTTGGACTTCGGGGATTCGAAAGAAACCTCACACAAGACCAGGCGAGTGGGAAGACCGCAAAGGCTAACATATCAACTCTCATTATCAACATATCGGCGGACGATAACTCGGTTTAGATAGATAGGAAGGCTTTCCAAATAAGGAAGTTATGGGGCTTTCTTTTTCAGGTGCGTTTTTCTTACAGACGCTGATAGACATTAGCGGACGAAAAGTCGGAATAAGATAGTCCAAGGTCAGCTCTTTCCGAATATATAAACCATTTGTTGAATTTCCTTCTGATAACGGCTGCACAAGACGTGAAATTTAGTATATTATGAGGTAATTTGAATGTAGTGCGATGTTTCTTATTTTTTTTTGCTCTCATTATCAACATATCGGCGGACGATAACTCGATTTAGATAGATAGAGAAAAGACCAAGCTTTCCAACCGCGTGCTTATTTTTTCCCTATCTTTCTAGATAACGAAGATATGGGCCCGAGAGATAAGTAGAAATATAAGGGAAAAAGTTTGTTGCTGGGCCTAAAAATTATTGTGCAAACGTGTGATGGGGATGTGTTATATACCGTTGAAAAGAGCAGAAAATTTCCCATAAGATGAATATAGTTCTAGAGTTTTCTCCCTGTCAAATAAGAAAGTTATTAGTGCAAGAAATATTTGCGTGTTTTCATCGGTAGGGGCTTTTTCAGGTGCTTTTTCTTACAGACGCTGATAGATATTAGTGGACGAAAACTTGGAATAAGATAGTCCAAGGTCAGCTCTTTCCGAATATGTAAACCATTTGTTGAATTTCCTTCTGATAACGGCTGCACAAGACGTGAAATTTAGTATATTATGAGGTAATTTGAATGCAGTGCGATGTTTCTTATTTTTTTTGCTCTCATTATCAACATATCGGCGGACGATAACTCGGTTTAGATAGATAGAGAAGATAGAGAAAAGACCAAGCTTTCCAACCGCGTGCTTAGTTTTTCCCTATCTTTCTAGATAACGAAGATATGGGCCCGAGAAATAGGTAGAAATATAAGGGAAAAAGTTTGTTGCTGGGCCTAAAAATGATTGTGCAAACGTGTGATTGAGATGTGTTATATACCGTTCAAAAGAGCAGAAAATTTCCCATAAGATGAATATGGTTCTAGAGTTTTCTCCTTGTCAAATAGGAAAGTTATTAGTGCAAGAAATATTTGCGTGTTTTCATCGGTAGGGGCTTTTTCAGGTGCGTTTTTCTTACAGACACTGATAGATATTAGTGGACGAAAACTTGGAATAAGATAGTCCAAAGTCAGCTCTTTCCGAATATGTAAACCATTTGTTGAATTTCCTTCTGATAACGGCTGCACAAGGCTGTGAAATTTAGTAATTATGAGGTAATTGGAATGCAGTGCGACGTTTCTTATTTCTTTTTGCTCTTATTATCAACATATCGGCGGACGAAAACTCGGTTTAGATAGATAGAGAAAAGACCAAGCTTTCCAACCGTGTGCTTAGTTTTTCGCTACTTTTCTAGATAACGAAGATATGGGCCCGAGAGATAAGTAGAAAAAAATAAGGAAAAAGTTTGTTGCTGGGCCTAAAAATGTTTGTACAAATGTGTGATTGAGATGTGTTATATACCGTTGAAAAGAGCAGAAAATTTCCCATAAAATGAATATGGTTCTAGAGTTTTCTCCTTGTCAAATAGGAAAGTTATTAGTGCAAGAAATATTTGCGTGTTTTCATCGGTAGGGGTTTTTTCAGGTGCGTTTTTCTTACAGACGCTGATAGATATTAGTGGACGAAAACTTGGAATAAAATAGTCCAAGGTCAGCTCTTTCCGAATATATAAACCATTTGTTGAATTTCTTTATGATAACGCCTGCACAAGACGTGAAATTTAGTATATTATGAGGTAATTTGAATGCAGTGCGATGTTTCTTATTTTTTTTTGCTCTCATTATCAACATATCGGCGGATGATAACTCGGTTTAGATAGATAGAGAAGATAGAGAAAAGACCAAGCTTTCCAACCGTGTGCTTAGTTTTTCGCTATCTTTCTAGATAACGAAGATATGGGCCCGAGAGATAAGTAGAAATATAAGGGAAAAAGTTTGTTGCTGGGCCTAAAAATTATTGTGCAAACGTGTGATGGGGATGTGTTATATACCGTTGAAAAGAGCAGAAAATTTCCCATAAGATGAATATAGTTCTAGAGTTTTCTCCCTGTCAAATAAGAAAGTTATTAGTGCAAGAAATATTTGCGTGTTTTCATCGGTAGGGGCTTTTTCAGGTGCTTTTTCTTACAGACGCTGATAGATATTAGTGGACGAAAACTTGGAATAAGATAGTCCAAGGTCAGCTCTTTCCGAATATGTAAACCATTTGTTGAATTTCCTTCTGATAACGGCTGCACAAGACGTGAAATTTAGTATATTATGAGGTAATTTGAATGCAGTGCGATGTTTCTTATTTTTTTTTGCTCTCATTATCAACATATCGGCGGATGATAACTCGGTTTAGATATATAGAGAAGATAGAGAAAAGACCAAGCTTTCCAACCGTGTGCTTAGTTTTTCGCTATCTTTCTAGATAACGAAGATATAGGCCCGAGAAATAGGGACTCACAGATTCAACGTTTTTTTTTTGAATAGAACGTTATTATTAAGACGGAATAGAAAGAGATTAGAAAAACTCAAAGAGATGAATAAAATCATGGACATCAACATCTCAAGGGAAGTGAAGAATTGGCAATTACAGGATTAAGGCCTATAATATGTGGAAGAAAAAGGAGGAAGTATTGTGTACCAAACCCATTGTATATAGATAAAATTGAAAGTGTAAATTTGCAGCAATAAAATGAAACCTAGATTAATGATCAAGTACGAGAACTTTAAATCTACACGCAATTCATTAATTATTATGTATTCAATTACTTAATGTTATTATAATTTCGAAATCTGATCGTGATTGCGCAATTTATGTAGATTTTATTTATAATGTAACTCGGTTTACTTTAGAGATATATTTTCGATTGGATTAACATTCTAAAATATATCTTTAAGGTACAATTAAATTTATCATGAAAGGTATAAAATTGAATTGATACAAAAAAAAAACTAAACAATAAAAGTGATGAGTGAATACCATTGTTAAGAATACTATGAATTTACAAAGAAGTTTTGTTTCTAGACAACGCCTGATTCTTCAAGGTTATCGTGGTATACAAAACAGAAATTCATAGCAATAAAGGCTTTTATTATTTTATCATCAACCATATGGCGAATAAATTTACCTTCAACCTCATCTGCCATCTGATCGAAAAAAAATGAAACTCGCTCGAGTTCTAATTAATTTTCAAAAGTATCTACTTAAATGATCAATATTGAGAATGACCACATGCTATTATGTAGTATTCTAGTTTATAGGTACATTGTCGACATAGATATGCAATTAATGTAGGGCTGAACACTTCCGCAATTGCATTTCTATTGCTTTTTGAAGAAACACCTGATCCCCTTAGGCTGAGTTAACGTCATGACTTGGTTATACCTCCTGCAGCATTTCACCATTTACAAGTAGAAATACCAGAAATACTACGTGTATTGCAGCTTGTCAGATATATTTTTAGCCGTTGCCGAACATTTTTTATTTTTTTGGTTAACGTCGCGACAATACGCTGCAATGTCCGGCGACTCTCTTATCTGCCAAGAAAAGACGAGGATTTATGCTTATCCATATTGCAAGAGGTGTGTGGAATGTAAAATGAGAAAAACCCGCCCCGACCAAAAGCGATAAATCTGGGCGTTTAAACTATCCAGTGAATTTACGACATGGAAGTTGTGTCATGGATATTAGGTTTGTTTCGTCCAGTGCACCAGCGATAATGGGTCGTAAGTAGACAGACTCGGGTTGAATAGGAGCACGAAGAAGGTCTCATGTATTATGCATTTATGGACGACTTGCAAAACTTCCAAGTCAAACGCGATTATGGTATGATTTATGAGAGTGGAAAGTGAGTGTTGAATATTGAATAAGAAGCAACTTTACAAAACATCTTTTCTAAACTATTTTTAAAACATTCAAAACAATATTGTAATAATGTCCGCTTTCACATCAAAATGACCTCTTTTAATTTTTTTTATGGCTTAATAACTTTATTGTATCAGCATTTCGTATACTTTGAAACTATAATTCCGCGAATTCTATGACAAAAAGATTCTGACTTTTTTAGTGTTTCATTTGGAGTTAGAAAAATTTATATTTACAACTTGCACGCTAACTTGAATAAATAATGCAATGTGAGAGAATGCACCATATTATAATCATTTTCCCACAACGAGATCGGGTCAACAACTTTAGCGAGTGGAGTAAGAAATTACTAATTATTTATTACTAAGTAAAAGCTGAGTATTTTTATTATGTAAAGTGATTATTAATGCTTAAATATAGTTAAGGTCTTATGATGTAATGAAACAATTTTATGAGATTACCGTTAACCCGAACAAAATTATTTGCACGGCGTTTTGGATTTTAACGACCTCTCCGTCCAATGTAACTCGGTGAAAGGAACCAAAACCGTAACTTAACTATAACCGTAAATTCATCCCGAGTATTTGCAAAACGTTTAATGCTAAATTAAATGAAAATATCGTGATGTAATACTTATAGGTATTTAAGTAATCTGTTTGCGCGTACTTAACTAAGGAATAATAGCTTTTATCGTCTTTTCTAACGTTTATATCTCTATTACACGCGTTCAGAAAAACTATTACGTTGTGTCGTCGTTATAATAACTCACCGACAACGGTTAGCACCAGGTGAACAAAAAAAAATAAAACGAGGACCGTTACACGTCTTCCTTTAAAAGAACCTGTTGGTGTTAATTTAAAGACCCGCTTGTAGTTTTTCACACCAAATATCGTCGAACTATTAGGTTGTTGTAACATCATTTAACACGATTCTTTTTATGTAGGTTACGAAATTAGATGCTGAAATTCAAACTTATTAACTATATTTAACATTATGTTAATGTTATTTAAAAAATTGCTGCTGCAAATTTAATATTACAACATTTTTGAGCAATTTTGCTTCATTTAGACAACTTTTAATCATTTGTGACAAGTTTAAAATTGTTTCGCATGATGTAAAATTAAGTTTAGACAACTCCTAATCGTTTCTGACAGATTTAAAATGATGTTTCAAATAATTTTGAAGCAATTTTAAATGGTTCAAAATCAATTTTAATTAATTTGAGATCATTTTGATCATGTCTAAATTGACTTTTCACACCAAGGCAATATAGATATCCAGTCCAGTTACACAAATTATTGGAGATTTTACCGCAACTAAGAGATAGTTTCAGATCAACGAGATGACTGATTCGAACAATCCAATTTAATGTAAAGTCTAATTTAGAGATAGCTACTTTTAAGATGGCAATGGCAAAAACAGAAGGCTACCAAAGTCCAACTTAACAGTTTGTTGTATAAATCGTCTAATAAATTCTCGGCAATATTACAGAATAAGAACACTTTAGTAACCGTAATTATTGTTTCTTCATCTCAATTCTTACGTAATTACGGACGTAGCCCGTTTATAGAAGTGAACGGGTTAACGAGAAAGACGTTACAAATTTAATTGCCGCTAATTTTCCAAAAGTGGACAACAAAAAAAGGAGTAGTTACGTATTGCCGCCGTCAAATCGCACAATGCGTTATTACGAAGTGGAGGAATTTTAATTGAAGCAGCAGCAGCCCGTTCGCAATGACCAAGTTGCGAAACGAAGAGAAAGCTCCTCTCTGATAACACCAAACCGATACGCGTTTTCCGACGCATAAACTAGTTTTTCCAATAATAATTTTTATATATTAAATGAAAAAGAAAATCGTTATAAATATAAAAGTCCTATTAAAAACTAAAATACATTTATAACAAATTTGACCTCGATTTATTTATTTATTGTCGATGACATTGATAATCAAGCGTATATATGGGTATAATCAACCTGCTATATGGGTATTATCTAAATTTAGGTTTATTGTGGAACTAACCGAATTAAAATGATTGTTAATTCAAAAAAAAAGAGATATAAAATCAAACAAAAATTGGTCGTTTAAATAACGGGTTTTGTAACAATGCTGTGAAATAAATATAATAAGTAATCTTTTAGCAGGGCAAGGAATTCTGGGTCAAATAACAGGAATAAATTCGGTTACTTAAAGTTCCCAGAAGTACTCAAAACCCGTCGCGAGGCTACCTCCTCTCACCAACAGTGTTAAAAAGTGGAGATATTAACGGTAGATCAGAACAAAAACTTTAAAAAACATTGAAAGTATTATTGACTTACCAAATCATCATAACCGGCGAAAAATATCTAATTAGTCGTCTTCCGTGACGCACTTTTTAATTTATCTTCTTAATTTAGAGATTTATTAAGGCACTTAAAAATTTTGACAAAATCGGATTAAAATTAAAATAATGATATAGAAATAATAATGTTTTTAGTCAAAATTGGTAAAATTTTGGAAAAAACTTGACCACCTTCTACTTAGGTGGCGTTGTACACTGCCTCCCGATAGCAACTGTTGTGTATAGCGTATTTGACATGAAAAAAGAATCCCCTACCAACCGTAAAACGTAAAACGCACTAAACAGGTGTTTATTTGTAACATAACTCAAAATAAAACATTTTAAAAACATTAATCACTTTTAAAAAATTATTTATACGTAACATACAAGATATTTATAAAAACTAACATAATATTTTTAGTATTAATACGTTTTATGGAGCTTTTTCGTTTATGTTGGTAATTATCGAACGTTCGAATCGACCTCGAGTACAATCAGGTGCAAAAGTTTGACGGGCTATACTATAGCATTGTTTTGTAATTCTGATCAGTTATTGCATTTTTCGCGACCAAGGACGATGTCGTTTGTTTATAGACGCGTAAATCAGTACGTAGCGTTGGATGCGCAACAAACAATGATGATGTAATTTACGTGATCGCTCATTGTTGAATAAAACATAGTCCCGTGGGATCAGAACTAACTTGTCGCCACGATTTACAAATCACCCAATTTATACGATTGTTGTTGCGAATATTCATCGAAGCTTAGGAATCGTTTTCCATAGATTTCATAAATTGTGATTTTGAATGAATTAGAAGTTAATTTATGTTTGATATTAACCAGAATGTGTTAATGATTACTCAAAAAGTATATTTTTCTGCCTGTGTTTCCCTAAGGTCTCATCCTGCATTGAGTTTCTGACATATTTATGCATAATTCAAAAACGTTGTTTGGAGACCAACTTAATATTTTCACTAATTTATATTATCCCATGCCTATCTTGGTGTTTAAATCACCCAGCATTGATTTGTAGTAGCAGGACAAAATTTCTGACATATTTTTGGGCATTGTCCTGAAGCCGACCATGTCATCCCACTAACACCCAAGACTCTTATATTTAATCCAGTATCAGTAGGTACTGTCAAATGCCAAATGAAACTAATAATAGACACATCAGTACTAAATTAAAAGTAGCTATAATGATTATAATTATTAGTGACTCCCTTGGGCCTGTCTCGCACAGCAAAGTTTTTCAAAACAAGGTTTTATATTACAAATAGCCACTCTCAGTTCTTTGATCTATATTCAGTCGAGTCCTATATTTTGTCTTTAAAGCAGCCACCGCAGAAAATCCGGCTTCACAAAGGTAAGATGTTGAAAATGGCAATAATATACGAAATGCTCTTGTTTTCAGTGGAGAAAATGCATCATCCACTCCTGCCCAAAATTCAAAGAGAGTTTTATTACTAAATTCTCTCTATTACTAAATTTCGCCCCTTGCAGTAAAGTGTATGAAGATTTCTTCTTCTGCAGTTGAGAGACCTTCGTGAGTAGTTCGAACCCACTCGTAACTTGCTACCAATTTGTCGTCAGCAAGAAAATACTTTTCAAAATTCTATGTCAACATGGCTAAATGACTTGCTATTGTTACAAAAACAACTGTCACATACTGTTCTTCTTCCTTGTATGTTTTGACACACTCATTCACATTTGCAAACATTTCTAGTTTTTTTTGTTTCACATTTCTGCTCCAACTCCTAATTTCTACGGAATGCACTAACTTTATCACTGCTATCCAACATATGTATGCTTGCTCCTTGGAGTTGTAGATTCAGGGTATTTAATTTCTCGAATATATAACCAATTTCATCACAAATAAAGCATCTCGAAACTTTTTGGCTTCCAGGTGGTTTTCCTCTTCTAGAAAAGTGGCAATTTCCTCTTTTAACTCATAAACACGTTGTAGAAATTTCCCACGCGATGTCAGAGCCTTTCTGTGGATCATGCAATATGTGCAGTCACATTGCGGAGATTTTTGTTTCACAAGTGCTTGTACGCTTTGGAATCTTCCACACATTGGTGCATATTCCAACGCAATTCTTCCACTCTATGTTTGCCTCATTAATAAAATCATTTAAAATATCAAACAAAGCGAGTGCTGTTGCTTTGTGTTCTCTACGTATGCAGAAAAGTAGTTCTTCTACTACCGATATACGCTCACAAAATCAGACATAGGCAATTAAATGAGCGTCTTTATTGCTATCTGTTGCCTCGTCAAACTGAATCGAAAACAATTTGTCACACAACTTTTCAAGAAGCTGATGCTGTACATCTTCGGCTATATCACCAATTCGGCAGACAACAGTATAATTTGAAAGAGGTATGAATTGTAATTGTTTGGCAAAATTATCTCTAAACATACTTTCTACAATCTCCATCGCAACTGGCAGAATAAGGTCTTCACCAATGGTGTGAGGCCTTTTATATCTAGCTATTTTATATGATAGTTTGTAAGAGGCAAGTAAAACTTTTTCGTTCACAAACAAAGTTTTTTTGAAGAATGATATTTGCTCTTCATATACAGGGTGGTTCAGTTTTTAATCGGGAAACTTTACTGGGATATAGTACTTGCCAAAATAACACAAATTTTTTATATAAACATAGGGTCGCAATTCTTTTGTTTTCGAGCTATGAGCGATCAAAGTTGAGAAAAAAATTTACATTTTGTTTTGTATTTCGGCTGCAAGTAAACCGTAGAATTTGAAACTTTGTACGTATGTACTACTGGTTAAGAACTTATTTTCAACCATACCTTAAACTTCCCCAGCGCCCTCTTAGGGGATGAAATTCACTACCCCCTTGTTTTTTTTATAACAACTTTTTAACGCTATGGAATATGAACATAAAAAAATATGGGTTGTAAAGCTCACTCTTTAGTGGTACTTTTTTGTCTCTTTAGTATTTTCCTTAAAGTTAATAGTTTCCGTGTAAAAAAATAAAATATCGTGCCATGCACTGCTATGTGCCGCCATGTTTAGCCAAAATTATTCTAAAAGTTTGCTCTGAGAACTTGTAAGTTTCATTTACAGTGAATCCTCATAATTATTGCTGGTTATTAATAATTTTTGACGGTTATTAAGCCAGAGTATCAATTTTTTAATATTGTTTAAAACAACGTAATTTGTTCAGACAGGCATTAATCTTATTTATGGTTTTTCTTATGAAAATCACAATTAATTGATGTTATTTAGTTAGTACTAGATCCTAGTAAGTGCACAACTTCCATAGCCACCTATAAAGAAAAATTTTTTTTAATAATAGCAGCGCTTTACAGTACAATGTAGCATATTTTATTTTTTTACGTTAAAACTATTATTTTTAAGGAAAAAACTAAAGAGAGAAAAAAGTACTAGTAATGAATAAGCTTTACAACCCATATTTTTCTTTGTTAATATTCCATGGCGTTAAGAAGTTGTTATAAAAAAATCAAAGGGGCTGTGAATTTCATCTCCTTAGAGGGCGCTAGGGAAGTTTAAGGTATGGTTGAAAATAAGATATTAACCAGTAGTACATACATACCAAATTTCAAATTCTATGGTTTACTCATACCCGAAATAAAAGATAAAATGTAAATTTTTGGCTCAACTTTGACAGCTCATAGCTCGAAAACAGAAGAGTTGCGACCCTATGTTTATATAAAAAACTTGTTTATTTTGGCAAGTACTACGTCCTAGTAAAGTTTCCCGATTAAAAACTGAACCACCCTGTATATGACTAATTTTAATTCAAAGAATTCTCGGGGCTTGTTAACGTACTCACTATGAAGTGTTTCCAAATGTCGTCTAAGTTTATTAGGTTTCATGCTGGCTGCTGCCAAAATTTTTAAACAAATGACGCAAAAGAAAGGTAGGGGGGCGCCATAAAAATTGTTATTGAAAATTGGTGCCCAAATACTGAAACGCTGATTTAATCTATATCTGGCATTGATTTGTAGTAGCAGCAAAAAGTTTCTGACATATTTTTGGGCAGTCTTTTCCTTAATAATAGACTTGGTTTTTGCCAATCAGGCATTTTTCTAATTGTCACCTCATCTCACTAATACCCAAGACCTAATAATGATGCATTAAAGCTGGAAAGATAGAAATTTTTAATACAAATCAACACAATATTAATGTCAAAATTATGAATCCAAAATTGTTTTTTTTTTTAATTTTGATTTTTAAGATTTTAACAACAAATTTCTCTACAGAGTATACCAGACAGTTATGGAAAGCGATTGTACGAAGCAAAGCGAACATAGCAAGAATAAAATACTCCGGGCATTCTACCAAAACTTGTTTCCGCGGTCGCGCAGAAAACTTCAAGTCCGGAGCTCAGTAGTTTGTCGACCCGTTACCAGAACAAACCGTAGTTGAAGGTGGCGTGTTTATTACCTGTTGCGTCCGTTTTCAAGCGGACAAAATGTTTTTTTTTGCTTAAGAAAATATATTAGTAGCCGCAATTTATATTAATAGTGATCAAAAAATGATTGCGAGCGATTATGTATTGGAATTGTGCAATGTGTTCCACACCGGACAGGTAAAACTCGATCAATTTTATTAAGAAATCACTTTTTATTAGTTTAGACTTTCACAATTGAAACTTTATGGTTTCAATTGATCTTATTTCTATAGTTTTCTCGTGATCGCTCAATAAGAAAAAGTAGATCACAATTAAATCTAAAAGAAAGTGTAAATTAATAAAAATTCATTTAAAGTCTTAACAAAAACGATTTATTAGGTTGAGCCTGGATCATGCATGCAAAGAGTTTTTGGCAGCATCAAAACGGGAGTTATTTTAAAAGATGTATCATTAACGGTTCATTCAGGTGAAGTTCTGGCGGTTTTGGGTTCAAAAGGTAAAATTTTTTCAAAAAATTTTGACCCACATCATTTTTTATTTATTATGGTTTAGGGAGTGGTAAAAAAGCTTTACTCGATGTAATATCAAGACGCGTTCAGGGTCCCACCAGAGGACAAATCCTTCTTAATAATCAACCGATGAGTTTGTCTTTATTTCAACAAAGATGTGGTTATGTAACACATAAATGCGATCTAATTCCGGGACTTACCGTGGAACAAACTTTATTTTATACACCAACAAAAGTAAGTTTATTAATGTTTCGGGTTTAGCCAATTTAAAATTTTTTGTACAGATTTCAGGATATTTAAAAAAAAGTAAAGTAAAACAAGTTATGGCCGATTTGGCACTATCTCAGGTTGCTAATAGATGTACGGAATATTTAACTCAAAGCGAATATAGACGATTAATGATTGGAATTCAACTTATTAAAGATCCGGGTATTAAATTATTAAAAAAAAATTATTATTTTCGATTAATTAATAATTTTAGTTATCTTATTACTGGATGAACCAACTTGGGATTTAGATCCATTAAACACCTACTTAGTTGTTTCAATTTTATCAAACGCGTCAAAAAAATATGGAACTGCCATAATACTCACGATGGAAAAACCGCGATCCGACGTTTTTCCATTTTTAGAACGCGTTTTATATTTGTGTCTTGGAGATGTTGTTTATACCGGAGGAACGAGGCAAATGTTGGAGTATTTTAACGCAATTGGATTTCCTTGCCCGCAATTAGAAAATCCATTGATGTATTATCGTAAGATATTTTTTAAAGCATCTTAATCGAAAATTTAATTAATTTATATTTAGTGTGTTTATCTACGGTTGATAGAAGATCTCGGGAGCGATTCGTCGAAAGTAATCATCAAATAGCGGCTTTAGTCGAAAAGTTTAAAATTGAAGGGGGATCTTATCGAAAAAGTTCAATATCTGGGAATCACACCATGGATCATAGTACGATTTTGGGACATGGCAACAAAATTTCATTACTTCATGGAAAACCGTCATCGTTTCATGTGGGATGGACTTTATACACGTAACTTAATAAAAGGGCATGTTTATGAAGAATTAATTAATTAAATATTGTAATTCCAGGAGATTATTAGTGGCTACATTCAGCTTTAGAAAAGCTGGTTTTAAACAATTATTTCTTCGATTATTTTTGGTTCCTTTATACTTTTTATTATTGTATGCGTTTTATTATAACATGGGAAATTTTCAACATACTTTTATTACCAGAAGTGGACTTATATTGAATTGTTTAGCTGGAGTTTATTTCTTAGGAATTGTTAACACCATCTTTATATGTAAATTTTTCCGTTTAAATTTTGAATTATATAGGGTGATTCATTAGTAGGGCACGGAACTTTTGTAACAAAACGATACGATTTCCCCCCTCCACTCGTTCACAGCAGAAAATTTCATACAAAAGTTGTTCTAAATTAAATTCTAAAACAATTTTCTCAATACAAAATATATACAAATTTTTTTGACGTTATTTTCTTAATTATTGATCAAATCAAAAATTTGTATTAACAATATTTGTTTAGAATTACTTCAGGAACAGTGTTTGTTAATACATTTTTTTGCTAACTTGAAATTTTCATTTCCCTCTGAATAGTATGCTATCAAAATTAATTATCTTAATAATTATTGTTTTTATCAAAAAATGTTTTAAATAAAATTTGTTTCAATTTCGATTTTGAATCAATTATCTTAATAAAAAATTTTTACATCTCTATTAATTAAGCATCTAAGTATAATTATGTATAAAAACGGAAAAATTATTATTTTGAGGTTATCTCCTTAATTATTGATTAAATCAAAAAAAATTGTTGACAAAGTTTGTTTAGAATTGTTTCAGGAACAATTTTTGTTAACACAATTTTTTTCTAACTTGAAATTTTAATTTCCCACTGAACAGTATGCTACAAAAATTAATATTTTTGAGGTTATATCCTTATTGTTGATTTAATCAAAAAATGTTGTTAACAAAATTTGTTTAGAATTACTTCAGGAACAGTGTTTGTTAATACATTTTTTTGCTAACTTGAAATTTTCATTTCCCTCTGAATAGTATGCTGTACTTTTAATCAAGATTTTCTCAGCGGACGCCACTGAGAACGAGTGGGGGGGGAAATCGGATCGTTTTGTTACAAAAGTTCCGTGCCCTGTACAGCTCTATGACAAACTTTGGCAGATGAAAGATGATGCGATTCTAAGGAAAAAATGTTATATGAATGTGGGTCCGATTCATTTTGGTTAAAGAGTTTAGTTGCTCTGGGGTATCGTTTCAATGCCAAAGTGTGGCTTGCCTAAGAAAGTAGGTGTAATGTAGTCTGTGCGAGCTTTAAGGAGGGGTTGTTTATTAACAGCCTCACACCAGAGCTTGCTCCGGACTATTCCCATTTTAACAACCTGCTTTTCATTTACTGATCGCAACCGAAGCAATGCCATCACGGCCACCTCCCTTATAAAAATATCTAGGGGCAGCACGTTTAACATAGTCTCCATTGCAATCGAAGGTGTAGATCTCATAGCGCCTGTGATTAGCAGACAGGCCAGTCGTTGCAATTGATGCAGCAATGTAGCTTTATATGCATGTTTTAGTGCTAAGCACCAGACTATGGCTCCGTGAGCTACCATGGGTCTTATCACAGAAGTGTAGATCCACATTGTAACTTTCGGATTTAATCCCCAAGTATTCCCAATAGCCCTTCGGCACTGGGTCAGTACAATCGTTGCTTTTTTGAACAGTTAGTGTTTGCTTAATTATTTTTTTTCTCAGAAATTATTAAATTTTCGAAGAACATCAAAGAGACAAAAAAGTTTTAGAATAGTTTTATCTATTTAACTGAAATTTTTCCAATGTATTTATCATCTTCATAAAAAAAATCTAGGCATAAATTGAACGGGGGTGGTTACGTTTAGTAGTTTAGAAGGGTAGGTTGAAAGTACAAATAGGGTCAAAACGTGCCCTATTATGAGTTAAACATATTCCCCAAATTTCATTTTCCTAGCGTTTATGGTTTTTGAGAAAAAACAATTAAACCAAAATTTTCCCCCATTTATTTATATGAAAGTACCCTTAAAATTCACTAAAGAATCACCCCTTGAAGTTTGTTGCAGTCATTCAGTATCTTCTATATTCTGTATAAATAATTAATAAAGATTAAAATTTAATAAATTATTTTAGACTTATAGGTTCATTTCAAGAACCATTAGAATATCTTTATTTCGGTCTTATTCTTTGGGCTTGTTATCTCTTCAGCGAACAACAAACAATGGCGATTCTCCTCATTGTCAAAAATCATTTATCAGCTGCAATATTTAGTATTTACATAACGTGCGTTTGTATTACTTTAGCAAGCGGAATTTTACGGTTCGTTATTTTTTATTTTTATTAACCCATTTAGTTTTTATTATTTTTATAGGTCAATTAAAGGGTTACAAGATTGGCTTTATTATTTAACTTATGGAACTCAAGTTCGATACGCATCGGCGTTTCTAAATAAAAAGATATTTTTATCACCCATAATACAAGGAACTTTACCATACGATTCAAAAATAAATTGCACAAACATTAACTTAATCGAAATGGGAAATAGCCTTTCAGATCCATATTGTCGTTACGCGTTTGGAGAATCTTTCTTAACCGAAAGATACACGAGAACCGCAACTGATTTGATATTCAATGAAATCTTGGATGAAAAAATGAATATTGGAATTACATACGCATTCGCCGTTGGTTTTATAGTTTTTAATTTATTTTTGTGTTTAATTCCTCTTCCCGCGTTCGTTAAAGCTAAGTTTAGGGAATAAATTTATGGATTAAATTTAAGTTTAGTAAGTAGGAGTGCAATGAATTTTTTTAGATTTATTTATAATAAAAACATAAATCAATTTTAATCTTAATTAATAAAAGCCCCGACACCTCAAACCGCCACTTGACCCATTGGCTTCAAATCTGGAGCAACTTGGAAAGTACAACCAGTTGAAGCGACGATATCTTCAACTTGCACACCTTCAGCTACTTCAATAAGAGTTAACCCATTTTCTGGGTCAACATTGAAAACAGCCTAAAAAGATTAAATTTGTGGTCAGATTAAGAATTAATCATAAAATCAAAGCACCTTTTCTGTAATTATTGTGTTAACACAATTTTTTCCTGTTAATGGCAAGGTGCAGCTTTCTAAGATTTTGTGAGCTCCATCTTTTGCTGAATGTTCCATACAAACCACGACTTTTGTGCCTGGAGATGAGACTAAATCCATTGCTCCTCCCATTCCTTTAACCATTTTTCCCTAAAAACAACAATTCAATAATAATTAATAATACAAATTAATAATAATTATTACCGGAATCATCCAGTTTGCTAAATCTCCATATTGAGAAACCTCCATTGCACCTAAAACCGTCAAGTCAACATGACCACTGTAAATAAACATTCTTAAAAATGCTCTTAAAATAAATTTTGAATATTACCCTCGAATCATTGCAAAACTATCGTCGCTAGAAAAATAAGAAGCACCAGGTAAAACGGTTACAGTTTGTTTTCCTGCGTTAATAAGATCGGGATCTACGTCTTTTGGATAAGGGAAAGGACCAAGGCCAAGGATACCATTTTCGGATTGAAGGTAAACTTTAACGTCATCTGGGATGTAATTGGCGGATAACATAGGGATGCCAATTCCCAAATTAGCTTGAGATAAGTTAAGGGTCCTAGTTCACATAAAAATTTTGTTAAAAATCTTATTAAATTATTTTTATCTGCGATAAGGATACCATACATTCCGTGCTTAAATTCAAGAGCAACTCTCCTTGAAATTCTTTCGCGGGTTACAGCTGCAGGATTTTTCTTCACTACTGAAGTAACACTATCTTGAACTTTTTGAACTGTAACTTTCTACAAAAAAATTACATGAAATTAATTTTTTTTAGTATTTTTTGAAACAAACTTCGATTCTTTTTTCAAATTTCTCTCCTTTAATAATTCGTTGGACATATATTCCAGGTAGATGAACATCATCCGGGCAAATTTCACCAATTTCCACAATTTCTTCTACTTCCGCAATTGTGATTTTAGCAGCACGCGCCATTGTAGGATTAAAATTTCTCGCGGATTTCGCAAAAATTAAATTCCCAGCTTTATCGGCTTTCCATGCTTTAATTAATGCATAATCCCCGGTAATGGCTTCTTCCATAATATAATTTTTCCCATTAAACATCTGATTTAATCTCCTTTCACTCGCTATTTCAACGTTTCCATTTTTATCATATTTAATAGGAGCCCCCCCTTCATGAATTAAAGTACCAAAAGCGGTGGGTGTAAAAAAAGCTGGAATACCAGCACCACCAGCTCTTATCCTTTCAGCTAATGTCCCTTGAGGTGTTAATTCCACTTCTAATTCCCCACACAAATATTGACGTTCAAATTCGGCGTTTTCACCTACATAAGAACTTATCATCCGTTTCACCTTTTTATCTTTTAAAAGTAAACCTAAACCAAAATCATCAACTCCCGCATTGTTTGAAACAACAGTATAACTCCCTGCTGTGTGTTTTCTTAATGCGGCTATTAAATTTTCTGGAATACCGCATAAACCAAATCCTAAAAATTTATTTTAATTGTAAATAAAAAGTTTCTGAATATTTATATTTTTACCTCCCACCAATAGTTTACTTCCATCTTTAATATCTTTAACCGCTTCTAAAGGATTTTCATAAACTTTTGATTTTGTAACTGCGCAAGAATCACTTGAAAATTTACATGATACAATCTGTAAAGGAAAAAATGAACTTTGAGGTTGAGACAACGTAAATAAAGTTGAATATCTGGTTTTTCAGTTGGGATTTAAAATCACCTGATTGAATATTTTAATAGTAATGAAGATGTAGATTTTTTCAATTAATTTTTTTTCTTTAACTTTAAACCTTCCAGTATTAGTTTATTTTACAATAAGTTTGAGATAACATAATAAATAAAAATGCATTTTAATTAAAAAAAAATATATAATTAAAGAAATATAAATAAACTTAAAAAAGACTGGAACAATCATAATCCATACTTCAGCAAAAATTTAAGAATTATACTGGTGAAAAACCAAACTTAAGGGAATAGTCTCTGGTCAGAAGGTTAATTTGCAAGAAAAAGTCTGAAATTGCAATAGTTATAAACTAAACTTCAGCAAAAAAGGAATTACATTGTGCAAAGTCCACATGAAGTCTGAAATTACTGTTAAGAGAAAATAAAAAATTGATTATAAACCAAAAATGATTTTTCATGGCAATACTTATGTACAAGGCTTATGTGCAATGCTTCTTTGCCAATGCAGGATAAGCACAAAAGTAAAGTAACAGCTGCAGAAATGAGGTACCGAGTGGTACAAGATCCATATAGATAATAAGAGGCTCCCAAAAAGATAATGATAGACACTCAAAAAGAAGTTGCTGTCAGTATCAAGAACAAAACATACATAACGTTGGCAGAAGACTAGATACAGCGTCTGGAACACTAAATACTGCTTTCTAAAGACTAGATACTGCTGACAGGTCTAAGTACTGCAAAAGATATTGTTGCAGAAAACATACATAACGTTGGCAGAAGACTAGATACTGCTTCTAGAAGACTAAATATTGCTTTCTGAAGACTAGATACTTCCGACAGGTCTAAATACAGCGTCTGGAACACTAAATACTGCCTTCTAAAGACTAAAATTGCTTTGTGGAGACTAAATACTGCTTTCTGAAGACTAGATACTGCTAACAGGTCTAAATACTGCAAAAGAAAGATAAAATATTTTGGAGAAAACATACATAACTTTGGCAGAAGACTAGATACTGCTTCTAGAAGACTAAATACTGCTTTCTGAAGACTAGATACTGCCGACAGGTCTAAATACAGCGTCTGGAACACTAAATACTGCTTTCTAAAGACTAAAATTGCTTTGTGGAGACTAAATACTGCTTTCTGAAGACTAGATACTGCTAACAGGTCTAAATACTGCAAAAGAAAGATAAAATATTTTGGAGAAAACATACATAACTTTGGCAGAAGACTAGATACTGCTTCTAGAAGACTAAATACTGCTTTCTGAAGACTAGATACTGCCGACAGGTCTAAATACAGCGTCTGGAACACTAAATACTGCTTTCTAAAGACTAAAATTGCTTTGTGGAGACTAAATACTGCTTTCTGAAGACTAGATACTGCTAACAGGTCTAAATACTGCAAAAGAAAGATAAAATATTTTGGAGAAAACATACATAACTTTGGCAGAAGACTAGATACTGCTTCTAGAAGACTAAATACTGCTTTCTGAAGACTAGATACTTCCGACAGGTCTAAATACAGCGTCTGGAACACTAAATACTGCCTTCTAAAGACTAAAATTGCTTTGTGGAGACTAAATACTGCTTTCTGAAGACTAGATACTGCTGACAGGTCTAAGTACTGCAAAAGAAAGATAAGATATTGTTGGAGAAAACATACATAACGTTGGCAGAAGACTAGATACTGCTTCTAGAAGACTAAATACTGCTTTCTGAAGACTAGATACTGCTGACAGGTCTAAATACTGCAAAAGAAAGATAAGATATTGTTGGAGAAAACATTAAAAATGCGCCGGCGCCCCCTTTTAGGCGGCGCCCAGGTGCAGTGCACCCCTTGCACGGCCCGGTAGCGCCGCCTCTGACCGAGAACTAGAAACATTCGGATTTAGCCGCACGTCTCTCAAGACGGCTAAACCCGAATGATTCTAGTTCTTGGTCTTGTGTTAATTCTGGTGATAGTGCTAATGCAAAACTAGAAATCCTGTCAGATTTTAAAACTCCCGCCAAAAAAATAGCTTTGAAAAATTACACTGTGTAAATGTGGCTTTTCCTTTTACTCCTCCGAATTAAAAATATTAAAATAATACATAATATAACATCAATAAAAAATGGAAATGTTTGAAAATCTTTAAATTTCGTGTGCGTTAAAAATACCACTGCAACATTTTGAAGAACGAAGTTCGAAGTTTAAATTCAAGGCCCCCCGGGGTTATAAAAATAGAATTTTCTCTTTGATGAATACCATTTCGTCAAGCAAGAGATATTATTATAACGATCTATTGTGCAAACAAGTCTTATCAATTTTTTATATGAATAATAACAATTATTTATTTATGAAAAACGTTTCTCTGCTTGTTCTATAACTATTTAGCTATGTTAAGTTTTTCTCACTCTTTGAAAAATAATTTCATAATATCATTGGGATAAACAAAATCGACGAAAAAATACGTTAAGAAGACTTAAAATTAGTATTAAAAAAATTTATTATAACGACTATATCCTGTATTTTTTGTTGTTACATGTTTTCCTATTAAATTTTTTTTTTTTTAATACAAAATATTATTAATATAACTTCAAACAATGATTTGATTATCTACAAAAAAAACAAATATTAAATGAAACACAACCGGTTTACAATTGAAACTATTTTTAAACCATTCAACGAATTAAAGCTGTTTAAATAAAGATAACCTCAAAATTTTATGCCAAGATATGACCTAAAATTATTTTTTTATCAACGTAAAACTACCTTATACAAATCTCTTCTATAATGTGACGTTCCTGCTTGATTAACAACACTCAAAATACCCCTATTTATAGTAAAATAACACGCACTTAACATATTGCTCGTTTGGGCTTAACCTATACGCTGACTTTTGAACAACCACTGAATTAACTTCTGTCAAGTTGACAATTTATGTATTATACGTCAATTGAGTACCTGTTTTAAGATTTGATATGGAGTTTAGAAAGAAAAATCAAGGTCAAAAACCGGATAACTGCATAAATAATAAGGTGATGGTTAATATGTAAACATCCAAAAAATTATTGCATTTACTCCTTCTTTGGGTAGATCTGAATTGTGAGCTTATTAACGTGTGGGGCGGGAGATTATTGATGTAAATCGCTTAAACCGTGTATATTCTATGGGTGATTATTAGTTTTACTATTTGCCACTAGATGGAGTATTATACGACTTTATTAAAAAGTTTAAACTTTATGAAATGTATAAATTAACTGGATTAACTAAATTATATAATAGTAAGTTAATAATAAATTATTTTTTAAATGAAACAACAAAAAAATTACAAACATATTAAGTTTTATTATTTTCTTGCTTACATAATTTTTTCTTTGTTCAAACCACTCTTACATTATTATTTCCTGATTAATAGAAAACGAAAAAAAATATATATATTTCTATTTACATAAATTAATAATCTTAAGATATGTAAATCAAAAAAAAAACATTTATATTAATCATTCCTTCTTAAAATGATCATTATTAATTTCTATTCTAAGAGGACTCCTATGATCATTCATATGATGCAATCTTTTAGCAACATTTGCATGAAAACCGGGTCTCATCCCCACATCCGTTTCCTGCTTAACATGTACCTCATCATCTTGATCTGAACTTTCATTCCCAGAATTTGATCCACCACTACTCTCCGAACTTGAACTTCTCCTTCGCAATTTACCTTCAGAAACAGTTTTTAACCTTTCACGGTCCGAATTAATTCGCGACCAAATAGTTGAAGCTACCGTCGGTTTCTTTTGGGTTTTAATTACGACGGTAACTTTACTTTTCGGTTTTTGATCTTCAAGCGAATCTTCGTAATCGCTTAAATGAGAATAATCTGATCTCATTCTTCTTGAAAATCTGTTGGGTGAGGTTCGTTTTGATAAAAATCGTCTTGGGGAAGTTCTCGAAGGTGATGTTAATCTTGGTGAAAGCCGTTTTTTTCTTAAATCATCTAATTTTCGTCTCGATTCGTTTTTATCGGTGTATTTTGATTTTTCTTGGGTTAAATCATCTTTTTTTTGGTTTCTTATTCTATTTTTTAGTTTTAATCCTAAATCGGGTTCTGGATCTTTTCTTTCTTTTTCTTCTCTTTCAAGTTTAACATTCTTCCTGATTTGCGATTTTAAAACATCCCTTAAATCATCACCTTTTGATTCGTTTGCTACGTTTTTAATTTTTTGCAATTCTTTACGTCGTTTAATTCTTTCTTCTTCTTCGTCGGCGTACATTCGCATTCTGGGAATTTTTGAACGTTTTTTCTCGTTCGTTTCTTGTTCTTCTTTGATAGGTTCATCTTCTAAAGTTCTTTTAAATCCAATTCGACTCATTACATCTGATTTAGTTTTAATTGGAATAATTGGGATTTCTTTTTCAGTTTGATTCATGTCTTGGTTCCAATTCTTTGCTAATAACCCCCAAGGATTTTTTGAATCTTCAACATCCTCAACAATTCCTTTAAATTTTTTCTTTTGTGTCTCAGAAATTAATCCTTTCATTCCCCCGTAATTGGGATTTCCATATTTTTTGTAATACTCGCTAAATTTTTCTGCACCTAATTGCTTTTTATCTGATTTTAACGCAAATCTTACTAAAATACACCTAGATTTTGTGTGGGACATTCCAAGCCTCCAATAACCAGGTGGAATTGGAACAGTTATGTCACTTAATGATACATCATCAGAATCATCTTTTAATTCAACAGTACGTGACTTTAATAAAATACTTTTTCCATTTTCTTTATTACTATCTAATTCTTTAACAAAAGGGTCACAAGGCCCTTCAACTGGCATCCCTTTAATAGGCTTTGATAAATAAAATAAAGCTCTTGCAGCAGAAACTTTATCATCAAACAAAATATTGCAACTTTCATCATTAATCCACTCAACTCCTGATGGTCCATATTTACCAAAATATTCCAAAACATCTTCTGTACTTAAATTGTCTGTTCCTCTCATGTGAAGTGACTCAAAGCGAATATCTTTTTCATCCTCAGTGGTTATTCCTAAACTATCATGAAGTTGTTGTAATTGTTCATCTGTAAAATTACATATTTCATTTGGTTTTAAATCAAAACGTTTCGCTCGTTCCAATAGCTTAGTTTGTTCTATTTTATCGAATATGTTTATTCCTGTACTAAATCCTCCATTAGAATTAGACCAAACCTAATTCATTACAAATAGATACTTCATTAATTTAAGCATTAAAATAAACTTACCCTTTGAGTTTGGCGAACAACTTTTTGTCTCTCAACAACAATCTCCTCTTCGGGATCGTTTATTTCGCCATCTTCCACCAATTTATCTTCTTCGACTTCCATGGGTACGGTCAAATCATTTTGTATTTCGATGCGTATATTCGGCCGTAAAGATTCCGTCATTTTAAACGTTAATTTACGATTAAACGAACAACAAAACCACAAATTCTTAATAAGTAAACGAAGTTGGGTCAAGTAAAAATTGACAGATGTCAAATTGACATGGTTCTAATTAATAAAGTAAAAGTTCCTAAAAAAGTTACCAGAGCCCCAGGGATCGTTGATAGGAGAACTTGGGACTCATTGTATGTTGAAATCCCACCGTAAGATGGCATTAGCGTCTATACTGAAATAATTTAATTAAACTAACAATTTTATTATTAATAGTAGGAATGATCAGAGACAGCGATAACAATTATTACCAGTATCATTCTTTTAATTTAAAAAGTATAAATTCCAATCGTGTTATATTTTTAAATTTGCCGCTAACTACAACTTTTAAAATTTGAAAAGCTCAGAATGACAGATGAAAACGTCATTTTAAAATGATTTTTCGGTAAGAGTATAATAAAGTAATAATGGTATGATTAAATAATTAGATTATAATTGACATTATAGCTTTGTTTCAGCTAACGTTACAACTGGTTGTCAGATGCAATTTCACATGTCATATGATGCAGTGATATTTAAATGTGGCAGCATTATTTGAGAGGTGTAATTGCCATAGGTAATTACATCTGAGGAATTCCCAACCAGTCGAAACGTTAATTGGACCCACATAGTGGCTCCAAACACTTATTTTGTGGTTGGAGCTTTCATATGTAAACCCAATCCAACCTGTATTCTGGTGGTTCGGTTCTTAGCTAAATAATTCCAAAATATCCCCAACAGATGGCGCCACATGCGTTCAATTTTTAGTACGTATTTCTACGAAGCTATTTTTTATGCTCCGGATATTTTGAGGTTAATTTTAAAAATTCTTGTGAATATCTTTTTATGTGGAAAATGAATGCTTTAGATAGTGATACATTTTTGGTATGAAGAAATAATTTTGGTTTATTAATTTCTTTAACATGATTTTTTTTGTAGAATCAGGTTAGTTTGGCTTTAAACAACCCGATTCATAACAGATGCAGCGATTTGACGGTTTTACTTGAATCGGCCAGCGTTAAAGATTTACAACACCTTTTTCCATTGCTTATTGATAATATTTTCGGTCCCCAAGGTACTGTGGCATGGGGGTTACGAACGATAACGGCTAATTTAAAACCGTACGATTTTCATGCATTACAAAATTTTTTTTCACCAATGGGGCCTATGTTTAAAGTGATTTATACACTAATAAAGGATCCTTTAATTAAATATGATTTCAGTATAACATATTTACCGGTAAGTTAAATTTTTGTGATAATTTATTGAAATTTATGTTTTTTTTTTGTGTTTTAGATGAAAATTCGGCAATTATTAGATGCAGGAAGTGTTCACCCATTTTATTCGGATTTGGTGCATGTTAGTCCACAAAATAAGCAGATAGTTTCATTACTATTAAGTAAATTAAGTCATTTTTGGTTTGTTTTTGATTAATTTATTTTTTTATTAGATCCCTTCGATTATTACATGTTCCATTTTGCATACCATTTAATTAACCCTTGGCATCAAAGAAATGATCTTCCTTTAGGGTCTACATGGAATAGTGTTTATTATATTTTATGTTGTGATTATGTTTTGCACTTTTTCCCTACACAACCAATTCAAGTTCAACCTCCTGTTGGTATTGGAGGAAAATTAACTTCAAATCAACCATCTGCTTTTTCACAACAATTATCAAGGTAAAAATGCTTAATTTTTTTAATTTAATTTTTAATTTGTTGATTAGTCCAAGTCAGATTCCAACAAAACTTTTAAGAAAGGACTTTTTCAATGATCCTGTGGCGGAATTTAAGTTACACCCGCCATTAGATAAGCATCCAAGAGCAGAAATATGGAGAAGTGAAAGTGTTTTGATTATATTTTTGGATATGTGGTTAAATAATGACCAAATTAGTCAACCCCAAGAAAGTTTTAATATGAATTTATCCGCAAAGGTAATTTAATTTTATTACTTATCATATTAAATACATTTTTTCTCTTCAAATTAGAGATCACTTCATTTTAATGAGGTACCGGCTGGAGAATATGTTCGAATAATAAGAATTTTAGTGAAACAACTCCATGCATTTTCAGCAAGTCAAAAAATTGATGATGGTCATATGGTTGAACTGAAAAAGATTACTCTTCCAATTATGCAAGGGAAAATGTATGTTTTTTTGAGGAATTTAATTCATCGGTGGCCTTTGGATGGATCTTTTCGTTTAGTATTGGAATTATGGTTAAGTTTTATTCAACCATGGAGATATGCAGTGATTTCTCAACCAAAAAAATTGAAAAAGTAATTATGAACCAAATCATCAAACCAATTCATAAATGATTAAAATTCAAATTCTTTTTGTAGTAAATTACCATCAGATTTAAATTTAGATTCAGATGAAGGACAAGCAAATTCAACAAAAGGTGTTGATAAAGAATATTTACCATTTATAGCCGAAAATATTCTAGCATATGTTGTAATTTTTCAACAATTACTTCCAAGGTTTTTAAGAGTTGATTTATCAAGCCCAAAAAATTCTTTGATGCTTTACAGATTAGCAAAAGTAAATCTTATTTATTTATATTCGTTCCTTAATAATCCAAAATGATTTTTAGGTTTTTGATCAACCGAATTTAGTTTCATTTATAAAAGAAATTGAAAATTGCATTGAAGAGAATTATTCAACTTCAAATCATGGTTTTAGCAGCTATAATATTAGTAATTCAATGCCCCCATTATCTCCTACAGCACAATGGTCATCAAATCGAAGTCATTTACCCAGTCATATAGGTTCGATTACAGATGATGCAAAACTTATTTCAATGGAAAAAGACCGTATTATTGGTAGTAAATATGTCATTATTGTTAAACAAAAAATGTATGAACTTGAAGGAACAAATTTTTGTTATAAACCATTATTTATTTCACCACCAGCACCAGAGGTAAAAAAATAACCTAAAAATCTCGACATTTAAATTTTAAATAACCTAAAAATTTTGACATTAAAATTTTAAATAACCTAAAAATTTTGACATTTAAATTTTAAATGTCAAAATGACATATTTTTTAGGTTAAGTTTAATAATTAATTTAAATTTAGGTTTATGATTTATTAAATCATATTTTAAAAGCAAGAATAACCGCAGTAGAAATAATAGATCATAGAAATGCTGAATTAAAACGACGAAGAAGTGGAATTTTTGGTTTTCTAAAACAACTTTTTAGTTCTGATGATTTTTTGGGTGATGAATTTTCTTTAGAAGATCGAAAAAAAGTTCCCGGTTATTTAGATTTTGCAAGTCAATATTTATGTGATATGTTCTCTATAAATGAAGTATTTAAATAAATATTTTACTTCGCCAAATTAAATTAATGGAAAATTTTTAGGCTATTCTCAATGAAACAATCAGATCATTAAATACAACAACTAAGCCGCCGATTATTGAAGACGAAAATAATTTTCCGAAATTATTGACCCCTGAAAAGGTACGGGAGAGAATATACAAGATGAAATTTGAAGGTGATCCCGATTTACAAGCGATTAGATCTGATGAAGTGACCCTTTTGGTTAAGATGTTTTATGATTGTGCTTCAAAAATTAATGAAAATGTAAAAAACAATTTAAAATTTTTTTTTTTTTATTAATAAATTGTGTTTTAGTATGGTTATAAAATAAAAAGTTTCTATGAAGATCCAACATACATAGGTAAAATTGCAAGACAAATCATATCTCCACCAATAACAATTTATAAATATGATAAATCGAATTATGCACAGCCAAGAAGAATAGCTGAAAGATTACCACCAAGAATTAGTTTAAGATTTTTTGCGAGTTATAAATTTTTAGTTTATATGAGTTTAGGGGTATTAATAAGTACTTTATTTCATTATAGCATTCCGACTTTTATATTTTTTGTATTTTCTTTTTGGTTTTGCTGGATTTGTATTAAAGCATTATTTGATAAAACTGAAATAGTTCGCACTCCAAATCTTTTTGATAATTTAAGTTTTGATCAATCGTTTTAGGATAACCATTTCTATTTGTAAAATTTCTAATTATAAATGATAATGATTAGGAATGCCTTTATTTACAATAAAAAACAAATTAACATATTATTTTTTCTTTTCCATCCAGATTCTTACTAAATATTTCAATTGTAAGTTAAAAAGTATGCTTAAAAAAATAATGTGTATAGGGAGAGCCTGTAACAGCCTGTAACCTCTAGGTGTTGCGTCCTTGGGTGGCGGATAGGAGTGATCGCCAGGCTTGCCAACCTGTTTTTCAAAAATAATTCGGTTTAAAATTTTGAGATATGACAATTCTCGCTTTTTTAAATGGCAACATCCACTGATTATTCGCTTAGTAAATTCGTTATTTTTTTCTGATTACAAAAATATGGGGTTAAATAGGTCTATTTCTTATTATGTTAGAATAAAGTTAAAAATAAATTTTTTTTTAGTGTCGTCAAAGAAATTATTTTTACAGTTTCCTGTAAGACAAATATTTTTTATATGAAACTTCATACTAAAGTTGGTATTTGTTAGTATAAATGATTTCTGATTACAAAAATATAGGGTTCGACAGATCTATTTCTTATTGTTTTAGAATAAAGTTAAAAATAAACTTTTTTTTAGTGTCGTAAAAGAAATTAAATTTACAGTTTCCTGTAAATTACAGTAATATAACTAAAAATTAAAAAAAACATATTTCTCCAATTCAAAACAATGTAATCCATTAAACATTTTCGTATTAACAATTGGTGTAATAAACATAATTGTTTGTCTTTAAATACGAAAAAAATAATACCCCGTAATTTACAGGAAACTGTAAATTTCATTTCTTCGACGACACCATTTCGGCGAATTATAAAAAAGAAATGTTTTTTTATTAAGAAAGGTATATTCGACGAATCTTCACCATAATTATTTATTTCCTCCTAGGCACAATGAAAAATAAGGGGTCGGCGATCGATGATATTGTGGTGGAGTCGAGCTTTGCGTGTGCAGAGGTATGGCCCAGTTTTTCCATTATAATTTTTTGTTTAGAAGCGCTTTGTGTCAAGGTTTTTTACAATTTTCTGTATATTTAAATATTTAATTTAGAAAATTTGATTAAAAATTTAAGTAATAATTCAATTTTAATATAAGCATTTCTATTATTTATGACTACAAAATTGTAATAAAAAATCATTTCGAAAAAGTTTTCTTTAGTATTGTGATTCTTCTTTAATATTTCCCAATTGCTTTTTGGGTATTGCAAAAGTAGTAGTTTTATCATCAAGTGAATCTCCCTAAAAAAGATTTTTTTCAACACTTTACGTTAAAATTAACAAAACCTTACAATTGCAATTTTTGGAAATTCGTGTTCTTCAGTGTCAGAACTTAAATCTTCATCGTCCGAATGATTAGCCGCTCTTTGTAAAAACAATTTTACCTTCCTCATACTTTTTAATGAAGATAAACTTGATGTTCTCGTTGGTTTATTCGAGCAAGTCGTGAAAATATCTTCGGGAACCGGCGGTAAATTAACAACGGTGTTTAAATCAATTAGGGATTCCCTCGATAAATTTTCCGGGTACTTTTCGTCCACGTCAGATTTAACACTTTTAACACTCGCGGTTCTCTGCAAACAATTATTATCGGACATTTTCTGTTTAGCTTCTAAATATTTAATCTTTTCAATCAAATTATTAATATTCGGAGTAGTTTCAATCGCTTCAACTTCAATATCGACCAATTCCTTCTCAATTACACCCAATAACTTTTCAAATTCAATTTTAATGTTATAACAAGACTGATCGTTTACTGATAAAGGGACATTGTCTATTAAAGCTATTACGGTACAAACCAATTTTTGGGCGAGAAGTAAAAAATTTTTGCTTGTTGATTGTAAAGTTGACACGTTTTTAGCCGCTTTTGCGGTCAAATTTCGCAAATATGAAACGTATCGTTCGCTGGAAGCGCATTTATCTTTAATATTCATTCCCATTTCGGTCATTAAAATTGCGTTTTGTAGGAGATATTCCGTTTGGGTGCGAAAGTTTAAGATTTTGCATTGATGGTCTTTTAAATATGAAGTACCTTCAATGCAATCAGGTTCCATTATTTAATTAGATTCTTGTTCGGAGGAAAAATTGTGTGACTTTTGACATAAAATAATTAAAATAACTTCAAAATTATAAGACATTAATTTATTGCATTTTTATTTCTAATAAAACCTCTAAATATGTATACTTATGGGAGATTAGCTTAAGATTTAGTCTGTAAATTTTAGCCGCAACTTTAATCGGGAAAAAATATGGCGAATCAAATGATTTATAGATCTTGATAATCGAGTAAATCATTTACGAGTTATAACCACCATTATGGCGTTTTAATTATAACTCAAAAACTAAAAGCGATGGAGAAAAACTTTTTATACATAAAACCTTAGTAATGGACCATAAAGACTAGATCCATAACAAGATTGAACCCAATTATTACCATTTTTTATTTATAAGCTCTAAATCGATTAAACATCAAAATTGTTGATTTTCGAAAATTAACTCAATCATAACTCAAAAACTAAAAGCGATGGAGAAAAACTTTTTATACATAAAACCTTAGTAATGGACCATAAAGACTAGATCCATAAAAAGATTGAACCCAATTATTACCATTTTTTATTTATAAGCTCTAAATCGATTAAACATCAAAATTGTTGATTTTCGAAAATTAACTCAATCATAACTCAAAAACTAAAAGCGATGGAGAAAAACTTTTTATACATAAAACCTTAGTAATGGACCATAAAGACTAGATCCATAAAAAGATTGAACCCAATTATTACCATTTTTTATTTATAAGCTCTAAATCGATTAAACATCAAAATTGTTGATTTTCGAAAATTAACTCAATCATAACTCAAAAACTAAAAGCGATGGAGAAAAACTTTTTATACATAAAACCTTAGTAATGGACCATAAAGACTAGATCCATAAAAAGATTGAACCCAATTATTACCATTTTTTATTTATAAGCTCTAAATCGATTAAACATCAAAATTGTTGATTTTCGAAAATTAACTCAATCATAACTCAAAAACTAAAAGCGATGGAGAAAAACTTTTTATACATAAAACCTTAGTAATGGACCATAAAGACTAGATCCATAAAAAGATTGAACCCAATTATTACCATTTTTTATTTATAAGCTCTAAATCGATTAAACATCAAAATTGTTGATTTTCGAAAATTAACTCAATCATAACTCAAAAACTAAAAGCGATGGAGAAAAACTTTTTATACATAAAACCTTAGTAATGGACCATAAAGACTAGATCCATAAAAAGATTGAACCCAATTATTACCATTTTTTATTTATAAGCTCTAAATCGATTAAACATCAAAATTGTTGATTTTCGAAAATTAACTCAATCATAACTCAAAAACTAAAAGCGATGGAGAAAAACTTTTTATACATAAAACCTTAGTAATGGACCATAAAGACTAGATCCATAAAAAGATTGAACTCAATTATTACCATTTTTTATTTATAAGCTCTAAATCAGTGGTGACCATAACGTCCATTGCCAAAAAAATCATGAATCTGAAATATCTATATCTGGGCCTCAGAGCAAAAAAAGGAAGGTTACTTTAAACCCTTTGGTCAATCTTGGCAAGATATTTATATAAAAAGTCGATCTTGATCAAAAATTACTGGACGACACTGATTTATAGGTTTTTTTGCGTTTTAAGTCCCCCTAAAATTAATTAACACCAATCACGCAAAGTCTTAATGATATCAGGGGGATCACATTTGTCCGAAAAGCTAAGGATCAAGTTGCGTGCGAAACGTGTTCGTACAAGAATTATCTAGGCGCAGACTCTGTAAGTGTAAACCGCGAACGAACCGAGCGAAATGGAAGCAACGCTTTTAGTTACATGTAAGACTTTGTAGAAGAACGATAGATAATTTCTATCTATCAACAAAAAGTTTATTACATAAATATGCGTAATAAGTCGATTATATTAAATAAATAATGAATGTTCGAAGAAATATGTGAAAACACTTTGATGTTACGAGTTATTTATATCGTTCAAGTTGTTGGTTTGTGTAATTTTGGCGAAACGTGCGCTTTTCCGAATAATTTCTTAAAACATTTTTGGAGTTTTCTTCAAAACAATTAGGTGCTGATAAGAAAAAAGGTTTTAAATTTAAACTATAATTAAATTATAATTGTGTATAGAATGTGTGTGTGTGGGTAATAACATTGAAATTAAACCGGCATAGGTGAGTTTAATTTTCTTAAACTTACTTCGTTGAAAGATTGAATACACTTTGCGGTGTTTAAACGATCGTAATTGATGACACCTATTGTATAGTGTCTATTTTTGACGGTTTTGTAATCTCTTTGTATTTTAATTTAAAAAAATTGTTAAGAAAACTAATTAAATTAAATTTTTAAAACTTAAAAAGATCTTTTAAATTAATTCAAAGTATTTTGACATTACAAGTTGTCATTAAAAGTGTCAAAAAGAAATACACAATTTAAATTCCACATTTATTTTCTTTTAATTCGATATCCAATGATGTATCTACAATGATTAGAATGATAATTAATACTTCCTTTAGAGATAAAACTATTTTTGTTTATATCTTCAGAATTTAAATATTATTTTTTCAATAATACCTGTCAAAATGTTGGTACGATTAATAGGAAATTTTGTTATGTCAATCCACTTCTGTCACATTGACGTTCGAACTTCAGATATTAATATAAATCCATAATTTCCTTTTCGATTTTCTAATTATACTTCAATAATTAAAATTTAATATTAAATTGTTTACTTTGTGGCACATTTTTATAGTAAATTTGGATTTCGTTAAAATTATAACATAAATTTTATAGCGACCCTAGGTAATACCAACACAAAAAAACAAACAATTTTTTTTTATAATATCTGTCAAGGTTAAATTTTTAGGGGTTAAATGTGTACCAGTAATTATTAATTTTTCTTTTATAACTATTAAAGTATTATTAATTTTCGTAAATTATAACATTATTAAATTAGAGAAATCCGAAATTGGTTCATTTGTAAACATCGTTAACTTCAAAAAGGTGACATTAAATTAAATTTTTGACATTTGACATGACACTTTAGACTGTTCTAAACCTTACTTTTTTTCGCTATTCAATATGTTCACAAATTCCTGTCTTTTTGTCCATTTTAATAGTATAAGATTCTCTCCAAATCACTTTGTTCGATTTCAATTTGTGTTTAATCTAAATTTCAGTATCGAATTTCATTTATCGTTCGGTTTCACATCTTCTCTGCTATCAATGTTAGTTTCACTTAATCTTTCTCTTTGTTATACCATTTATTGTTTGGCACACTTTAACAGTAATCACAGCTTATACGGAGTAAACGGACCATATCTTTGTTTTCGATAAAAGTTGAAAGAATTATACGAGCTTTATTTAGCTTTATTTAGCTTTAAAATACTTTGTACGGTAATAAAATAATTCTTCTTGATATTTACGATATCTTAAAACTTTGTAAAAATTGATCTTGTGGTTGCGGTTTCCGATATAATTTATTTATACTATTTTTTTTTATATTTTATCTTTTTAGCGGTTATATTTAAAAAGAATATTATAATTTATTTCTTAAGTAGCCAAAGCTACCTATTACACGTGAAATCAATTGTACACAAATCTAAACACTTACAAAAATTGCGTAATAAATCCATCTGTCTTTATCAACAATTCATTTATCGACTAATTTCATTAAACATTACAACATGGGGTTTGAATTGTACATTAATCATTTGCAATATTTATATATTATATCTTTATCGTTTATCGAGAGCTTGTTATTTCCAATAAGTTGTTAATAAAAGCTACTTTTTTGAAATTATAGTGCTCAAAAGAAATAGTCTCAGTAAAAAAACAACGAACTAAGAATGTACACACTTTGAATACATAACGAAGTCGTAAAGTTTTTTGTGACAATGAAGAATTATGTAAACTGCTCTTCACGTGGACCGTGTTTTTTCCTGGAAATACATTAGATGAAGGAACCTACAAGTCGTTTATCACCTTCCCTTTCTACGATTGATATTTGCATACACTACAGCTAAAAACAAAACGATGAGATTCTCTATTTATTGCACAACATATTCTTTTATTTACATATTCCCGATAAATTAAATTCATCTCAACTTTATTGAATTTGTCGATTCCTTTTTTTGGGATTTTCAAAGATCAATATAAACCAGTGGTGCTAAAACCTATGTGATTCTTTATTGTTATAACATGCTGTTTACAGTTAGTTCTTAAGGATGTAACATAATAGGAGATAACGTCTCAAATGCAATTACAAAAGAAGTCATTGTTAAATGTAAAGTGCTCGAGAATGCCGCCGTTTCAAATTATACAATAAAATTTAATCGTTTTATTAGGAAGGGGTTTATTATAAGAAGAAATGCTGTTTATTACGCAAATCCTGTTAATAAACAGTACAGTATAGTTGATGACGTAAATCATTTCAATATTAAAGTAACTTTGTGTTTTCCTTTATGACGCAAAGAAAAACTTTAGAAAAATTATATTTTACAGCGTGTCTGGATGGGAATTTTCAATGTCGAGTGGCGATAGCTTGCATATCTTGAATGTCAATAATAAGTAAATAGTTTATTTTAAACTGTTTACGGTCTGGTTATGATACCAATAGTTTATGGTGTAGTGCTTAGGCAACTTTACTATTAGAAACGTGCGTATTTACTTGTGGTTGTAAGTCGCACACAAATATTTCCTTGAGTTATTGCCAGAAATAGAACTTATGATAAAAATATATTGAATAATATGCTTAGTAGAAACAATACATAGTTGAGAAAAGTTTTATTAAATCATAACAACGATGATTATGGAAAAATGTTTAAGGTTTAAAAAATCATAACTCCGAAATTTGAAGAATCCAAGAAATGATCTTTTAAATATTAAATACTAAGTAAATTTGCTTTAAATTGCTTGTTATTTCATGATGATATCTCAATTCGTTCTTGAGATACGATTTTTTTAAATTTCTATTTCATATCCATAACAATCAAACATGCAGAGTTGGGTTTAAAAAATCATAACAATGTTTATGGAAAATAAGAAATTATTTATGGTGGATTAAATCTTCATTAAGTTTACTTTAAACAGTTTTTTATTTCATTACAATATCTCAATTAGTTTTTGAGATACGTAAAGATTAATTACCCTAACATTGATGTTTAAGGTTATGCAAGGTTGCGTTCAAAAAATCATAACTCCGAAATTTGAAGATTCCAAGGAATGATCTTTAAACTATTAAATACTAAGTAAATTTGCTTCAAATTGCTTGTTATTTCATGATGATATCTCAATTCGTTCTTGAGATACGATTTTTTAAAATTTCTATTTCATATCCATAACAATCAAACATGCAGAGTTGGGTTTAAAAAATCATAACAACAATGTTTATGGAAAATAAGAAATTATTTATGGTGGATTAAATCTTCATTAAGTTTGCTTTAAACTGTTTTTTATTTCATTACAATATCTCAATTAGTTTTTGAGATACGTAAAGATTAATTACCCTAACATTGATGTTTAAGGTTATGCAAGGTTGCGTTCAAAAAATCATAACTCCGAAATTTGAAGATTCCAAGGAATGATCTTTAAACTATTAAATACTAAGTAAATTTGCTTCAAATTGCTTGTTATTTCATGATGATATCTCAATTCGTTCTTGAGATACGATTTTTTAAAATTTCTATTTCATATCCATAACAATCAAACATGCAGAGTTGGGTTTAAAAAATCATAACAACAATGTTTATGGAAAATAAGAAATTATTTATGGTGGATTAAATCTTCATTAAGTTTGCTTTAAACTGTTTTTTATTTCATTACAATATCTCAATTAGTTTTTGAGATACGTAAAGATTAATTACCCTAACATTGATGTTTAAGGTTATGCAAGGTTGCGTTCAAAAAATCATAACTCCGAAATTTGAAGATTCCAAGGAATGATCTTTAAACTATTAAATACTAAGTAAATTTGCTTCAAATTGCTTGTTATTTCATGATGATATCTCAATTCGTTCTTGAGATACGATTTTTTAAAATTTCTATTTCATATCCATAACAATCAAACATGCAGAGTTGGGTTTAAAAAATCATAACAACAATGTTTATGGAAAATAAGAAATTATTTATGGTGGATTAAATCTTCATTAAGTTTGCTTTAAACTGTTTTTTATTTCATTACAATATCTCAATTAGTTTTTGAGATACGTAAAGATTAATTACCCTAACATTGATATTTAAGGTTATGCAAGGTTGCGTTCAAAAAATCATAACTCCGAAATTTGAAGATTCCACGGAATGATCTTTAAACTATTAAATACTAAGTAAATTTGCTTTAAATTGCTTGTTATTTCATGATGATATCTCAATGCGTTCTTGAGATACGATTTTTTAAAATTTTTATTTCATATCCATAACAATCAAACATGCAGAGTTGGGTTTAAAAAATCATAACAACAATGTTTATGGAAAATAAGAAATTGTTTATGGTGGATTAAATCTGCATTACATTTGCTTCAAACTGCTTTTTTTTTTCATAACGATATCTCAATTATTTTCTGAGATATATAAAGATTAATTACCCTAACATTGATGTTTAAGGTTATGTAAGGTTGCATTCAAAAAATCATAACTCCGAAATTTGTAGATTCCAAGAAATGATGTTTTAAATATTAAATACTAAGTAAATTTGCTTCAAATTGCTTTTTATTTCATGATGATATCTCAATTCGTTCTTAAGATACGATTTTTTTAAATTTCTATTTCATATTTATAACAATCAAACATGGAGAGTTGGGTTTCAAAAATCATAACAACGATGTTTATGGAAAATAAGAAATTATTTATGGTGGATTAAATCTGCATTACATTTGCTTGAAACTGCTTTTTATTTCATAACGATATCTCAATTAGTTTTTGAGATACATAAAGATTAATTACCCTAAGATTGATGTTTAAGGTTATGTAAGGTTGCATTTAAAAAGTCATAACTCCGAAATTTGAAGATTCCAAGAAATGATGTTTTAAATATTAAATACTAAGTAAATTTGCTTCAAATTGCTTGTTATTTCATGATGATATCTCAATTCGTTCTTGAGATACGATTTTTTAAAATTTTTATTTCATATCCATAACAATCAAACATGCAGAGTTGGGTTTAAAAAATCATAACAAC